AGCCCGGGCAGCTTACTCTTTTCTTATCATATACTATAGTTGACAATTAACTTAACCAAAAACCGCTTTTATTCACTTTTTTTTTTTTTTTTTCAAATAAGCTGGGCCTCATTTTACATACTTGGACAAGAAAGAAAAACGGATCTGTATAGCAGAAAGGTTTATCCCATATGATGGGTTCCAGGATTGGTTGTATGATAGGATAATGTCAGCAGTTACATGGCTAAGAGAGAGTACGTGATCGTGAAGAAAACATCAACCGAAGGTCGAAAACGGACTTTCAAGTATAGTGCTCTGCCACTCTAACTATTGAGGTATCATAGATTTAGCCGATTTTTGGGTACCCTCTCTCCCACTTGCATACTCCGGTTTTCAACTCTGTTTTGGATGCAAATTTATTGTGGGCAGTAACTTTTGATACCCTTGCTGGTCAGGTTACAGTGAGAGCTTCCAGGTTAGGGTGTGACAGTTTATCTTGTGGAGCAGATGTAACGGCAAAACAACGGACATAGTATGGTTTGGTCATCATTACTTTTTGTGTATAAATAGGGGGGTGTTTCCTAGACCAACTCAGAACGAAGATCTGTCCATCTGTACAGCAAGATTTTGGACACTAGCGCTCTAACACAATAGACCAAAGGCACCCAGACAGAAAGGTATGTCCGTCCTATATTGCACCAACCCACCTACTGGCTAGATGATTAAAGACTAACTCGCAGAATTCCCATGAAGCGAAACACCGCTCCTGTTGCGAGTTCACAGGAATCCAATTCCCCAGAATAGTTTACCAGCATCAATGACTTCTCCATGTATGATACCTTTCTAGATCACCTTGGGCTCATGGTGTTGAACACTTACTAATTAATTATCTGTTTACGACAGCAATCCCTTCCATCTGCGCAGGTATCTTTTGCGGTATTATTATTGCCTATATTGCCACCACTATAATTATCTGGAAGATGAGCACAATCATTAATTCGGCGGTACTTGGCATGAGAGTGGAGAATAGACATGTCAGGTCAGAGCTCATGAGTGATATTGAGCGCCGTGAGTTAGGGCTTATGAGCAATCTTCAGCGCATCAAGTCCGGGATTATGAGCAATCTTGAGTTTGTTGAGTCCGACCTCAGGAACGATATTAGGTTTGTTGAGTTCAAGCTCACGAGCGACACCCACCCGGCCAGTATGGCGTGGAAGATTCAGCATGCTGAATCAATTCTCAATAACAATATTGAGCGTGTTCGGTTGGGGCTCGACGGCGATATTCAAAGTGTGGGGCGGGAGATTCAAGATGTTAAGTCAATGCTCCAGCACGATATTCAGGAGGTAAGGTGGAATATTGATAACATTGAGTCAAAGCTCGAGAATGATATTCCGCCCATCAACTCCAAGTTTACAAGCAGTATTCATCATCCCCAAGTAGTTGGAACGATGGAGGGTGATACTGGGGAATGCCAAATTGGTAGCGAACAGGTGGAGGATCTTTCAGGGTCTGTTGAATCAGAATATTAGGATTCCTCCACTAATGCTAAGGCTCTGGAACTTGAATTCCCGGAAGAGCTGGAGAAGTCTTAGTTTGGTGCAGGTTATAGGTTCCATTGCTTGATAAAAGAGAGAGCATTGGATTGGTCTAATATTATAAATGACAAACAATTTTTTTGTCTTTTTTTTTGTGGGATTTCTTGGAGGAGCATATGGCAGGGACTATCGATAGAGGTTTTTTATTCACTATGCATCTTGAGAAAACCATAAATAAAATACAACTTAGTACCTGTTCCTGGACACCTTAAACCTAAAATATAGAGACCTTCTCTTCAACTTGACCTGTCTGTGAAATAACGAGAGCATACTTTTAAGTACAGTACCATACCAGTAGATTCCATTTTTCCCACAGCCATTCCTATACTTGCTTTCCGAAGTTGCCTTAGATGATTTTACTCTGACGACTTGGACTCTTAACAACAGCACCCAAATCTCTAAACCCGCTTCCTCCACTCCAGTAGCATGACTTCCAAAATGGCTATTCCGCTTAACTTGAATCATCCCTCAAGCCAAGACAGTAGTAGGGGGCGGGAGACTGGGTAGTTTACAGAATGCAGAATTTTGGCAAATTGATTCCAACTACAAATTTGGCGTTAGAGCCTCACATTACTTTCTCATGATTCCCCACTTTCCCCAGGTTTTTTTTTTTTTTTTTTTTTTTGAGAATATGGTTGGATTGTAGATATAATTGTGATACAAGTTGGCGGTGGTCACAGATGACCCCGGGGAAGTTTGGAAACCCATTCTATGTCTCCATACCGTTAGTCTATTTATTATTAAATTTTGAGTGCCCCTAACACCGGGGGGGGATGGATGATTTGGACCGGGTTACATGTACTGTACTGTACAGTATCTATACTCGTAAATTTTTGGTGGTTGCAGCTTTTGCCACCCCATGTAAAATATCACTACCAGCACTGTACCAGTACAGCATGCTTTGTAGAAATGCCCAACAACCCAACCCAGCTGCGCGAGTATCATACTCGTACAGTACTGTACAGTACATATCATACCAGCGATTGCTACAGCCCTACAACAGTCCATTCCCATCTCAAGCTCACGCAAGACCGGAAAGAATTAGAAAAAAATGGGTGAGCCCTCTTCATCATCGAAACCAAAAACCTCAACAACACCCCACCAATCCATTATCCTCGGCGAGGAGGAAGATCCTAGCTCACCGGTTTCCCTCCTCATCAGGTTCGCAATCTCACTCCCGGATCTGCCCATCTACGTGCCGGCCGCAGCCAATACCTCCGTCTCGACGCTAAAGTCGCACGTCCGCTCCCTACTCCCGCCCGAGCAGTCCAAGCGCAGACTGCGACTTATCCACGCGGGAAAGGTCCTCACCGATTCGGCTACCCTCGCCTCGCAATTACACATCCCCTCCGCCCCACCACCGCCGCCGAGGGGTGATGACAGGAAAGGGAAGGGGAAAGGGAAAGGGAAGGACGTCGAGGTTGGTGGCCATGCGCGCAGAGCCGTGTACATACACTGCAGTGTCGGCGACGAGCTCTCGGAGGAAGATCTGGCTAAGGAAGCGAACGAGCAAGAGGTCTGTTTTAGTTAATCCCGTGTATAATCAATACTCCCTCCTCTCTTTTGTCCTTCTCTCTCCTCTGACAGCAATCCATCTATCCATCGCGATGCATACAGATCCCGAACCACCCGACCCGCCAGCAGGTCTCCACACTCCCCCAACCCCGCGGCTTCGATCGCCTCCTCTCCGCCGGCTTCTCGGAATCGGACGTTGCGGCCCTGCGCTCCCAATTCAACCGCCTCCATGGCGACGATGAGGAGAACGTGCGCATGCTGGAGGACCGCTGGATCGACGAGTCCGCCGGACAGGGCGGCGAACTGGCGGACGGTAGTCCCGCGGGTAGCTACGAGGATGTATTCCTGGGCGCCACAATCGGCTTCTTCTGGCCCATGGCCGTCTTCCTGATGAGGGAGGAGGAGGTCTTCTCTAAGCGCATGCAGATGTCCATTCTCGCCGGCATCCTTGTTAACTTGACGTTTTGCGTTTTAAGGTATTCCTCGACCTAAGGTACGGCCACCCAGCAGAAGTACTCGTGAGGCATGTCTCACCAAAATGGACAGCATTCTAGCAGCGAAGTTTGAGTTGACCGTTTTGATTTTGATTTTTTGATTTCTCATTTTTATTTCATTCCTCCTGACATACAGTACGGGTATGATACCAAAACACAAGGGGTATCCCCACACATAATTTTTTTCTCGGTTTCCTTTTTCCCTTTATCGCTGTGATAATATTAATATCACCGGAGGTCCGAGCTTGCACAGCACACACAAGTGAAAGAAACAGCGGGACAGGGCCACCCGGAACAATCATCAACTGCTCAAAAATATTTGAGAACTATCATACCATACCTCTTCTTACTCCTTGATTCGAAGATGAAGAAAAAAACACCCTCGTTAACCGTTTTCATGAGCATATACATCAGATAGAGAGCAGTACGAGTACAGTTGCCGGCAAACCTCCCCAACAAATCCAACAAAGCACCGTCCGTCCGCCAGAAAGACTCCGCCTCGTTCCGGGGCCATGCGAGAGGGGGGGAAGGAGGGAGGGAGGGAGGGAGGGGGTGGATTCACCCACCAAGACTCCGTTCATGTGCTGTACCGTACTTTTCACATCATCCGGCATTGAATATCGGGTCGCTTCACACCAGCGAACGGGGCGGAGTGCTCGCACCTCACCCATTGATTGTTGTCAGGCTATATAGTACTAGGCAATGCTGGACTGGACCGGATTGGTAGGGGTATGTTTGCGCTCTGGGGGAGGGGGGGGGGGGTTGCTATAAGGCTGGTTGTGCACTGTTGAACGTCCGCTGGGGAACACATCTATCGGAATTGCATTGCTGCGTTGGAGGTGGTGCTGCGCATACCAGCGGCGATACCGCGGACCACCACCACCCACGCCTCCATATTCCTAGCACGAGCCACCATTGACAGCGCCAAAAAGAAAAGAAAAGAATGATAAAAAGAAAAAGGAAAGAGAAAAAACTCCGACATTCTAATCGACATTACAGCGACCCCCAATCTAATTCCCTCACTCCACCTTATTAACCTTACCCCGGCTCTTCCCCCTCTGGGGAATATCACCCACAATAACCCCCAACAGCCAAACATTCACCGCAAAAAACACCAACGACGCAGCCCACAAGCCCGGAACGAACGTCGACTTCCCGAGAAACTCCAATTCGTAGCCTTGTTGTAACCACGCCGCCTGTAAAAACCGGTCCAATTAGCAACCACAAACACCAGATACCTCGGGCAGGGAGAAGAAGCACCTGCGAGACAACCCACAACACCAACGCAACCCCGCCGAGCCACGGCCTCCGCAACAGCACGGAGCCAGGTAGGTAGAAGGGGAGCAGGACGATATACCACATGAAGTACTGCGATGTGCACACCTTATTGAACGAGACGAAGGCGAATGTCTGCGCGAACATGGTCGCCGGGAGATCGTGCTTGGCGAAGGCCAACGGGATGACGAGTCCCGAGAGGAGCAGTTGCGGAAAGAACGGGATCGAGGCGAATGGGGTGGAGGAGTGGCCCATGGGGGAGGAGGTTAGATGTAGGAGAGTGTTGTACGGGGAGAAGTTGTGTCGATGGTCGACACGCGAGAGGTGGTGGAGGTAGGTGTGCTGGAGGAAGGGGTCGGCGTAGCTGTACGAGTACATAAATTGGGTCAGTCACTCACTCAGGCGGTGTATGGAGGAAGGCGAGGGAAACAGACAGTTTATACATCCACACATTCAACCCAACAAACGTTCCCAACGCCCAAGCTCCAAAAGTGACTCTTTCGCGATTGACAAAGCCCATCGCCTTCTCCAACCACCCGTTTTTAGACTCCTTCTCCCCTCTACCACCTCCCTCACTCTCCAACCACCAAACAATAGCGGGCGCATATATAACAGGATATATCTTAAAGTGCGTCGCCAACCCCACCAAGACCCCCGCCAACACCACACGTCTTCTCAAAACCGCCCAGACAATGCCCACCACCAGCACTCCCAGTAACCCCTCAGAGCTGCCGCGAGTACTAATAGTCGCAACCATGGGATTGACAAGCCATATGCCGGCGAACAACCCGGCAGTCCGACGGTCCATTCCTCCGTTCGTCAAGATTAGGTGAATCAACCATCCGGCAAGCACATCCGCGGCGGAAAAGATGATCTTTCCGAATGAGAAGAAGAGGAACTGCGGGTTTAGGGCCGTTGGGAGGAGGAGCCAGGCGAGGAGTGGGGTGTATCGATAGGTTTCTCGGGAATATGGAGTCGAGATTGAGGCGTTGTTGGAGTTTGTGAGGAGGTAACGGGAAGCGTCCGTGAAGACATAGTAGTCTATGTCTGTGTATTTCAGGGGAGAGGTAGAGTCTTGATATAGACCGTAGAATAGAAGAGTTATTCGGAGGAGAATGGAAGCTCCAAGGAGGGTCCGGAGTGACATTTTACACCACACTGTGGGTGGTGGTTCAAATACGGAGGTGCAGTGGAGCTTGCTCTGTTGCCCCTGAATTTGGAGCCGCATCTTAGTCAGCAGTCACAGATTATCACCCGACGACCCATATCCAGTGCAAGACGCACCCGTCAAACGTTCAAGGCTGGGAGAAGGCCAAGGGAGGTAGCATGTTCGCCTAGATGTAGACTAATAAATCATCCTACATTTTCGGAACCATATTACAAACACAGGAGGTGAATAGTTCGAGAGCTACAAATAATCCGCTAAAGGTTTGGAAGCTAGAAAGAAAAAAAGTGACGAAGAACGCAAAGTTACCCAACCAACTGCGCCGATCAAAAAAGAGGATCGATACGCTCTAGCTCCCCTCCCCCTCCCAGACAAATAGAAAAGGAAAAAAAACCCAAATAACAAATTAGTCCTGATCCTGCGCATACGAGTGCTTTCTCATTTCTCCGAGTCTCTGGCGTGCTTGCTGCAATTGGGTTTCTAGTTGTAGGATTTCGACCTTTCTGGACATAAGAATTTGTGTATAAAAAAGGGAAAGAGAAGAGGGGGTTACCTGTTGCTCCATTTCCTGAACTTTGAACTCGTGCGAGGTTAGTTTGGAGTAGTCCACATCTTCATTCTCTTCACGGTTCTTAGCGGAAATGATGTCCTGAACTTGTCGGACGAGGGATTTGCACGCGCTTGTGACGGCTTTTGATGCGGCCTCCAGACGCTCTTGTGACTTGGACATGAATGATGCCTTAACACGCGATGCGGCTACAAGTTGTGCGGTAGACGCGGCAACATCGTTGGCAACGACGATCCTACTACCGTTAGTACAAGTTAGGCTTGAAGGTATTGAAGGTAAGCTTACAGTTGTTCAAGCTTTTTATGGCCACTGATAACACCATCGGCGGTCTCAATCAACATGTTTGTGGACATGGCGACAGCCTTGGCTGCTGAAATCAGCCCCTCGGTCCAGCGATTGTTACGCTTGTAAAATGCAGTACGGGAACTGCTGCCTCTCCCTTGTGCCACAATCTCTTGCTGCGAAACCGTGGCAGCCTTGATCAACTGAGCGATAGCATTGGTAACCGCAATAGCGGCGTCTAAAATTGAATCGTGAATGCTGATTTCAAAGGTTGAATAACCTGGGTTCTTGGGCTTCTTCATAAGCTGCGCTAGGCGGGCTGTAGCGGCCTCAATTGCTGCAGCCGCCTTATTCATCTCTGCATCGACGACGTCTCCAAGATCCCCACTTGCCTTTGACAGATCGGAACCACCCTTAGCCATGAATTGCTCGGCAAGCTTGTTCAGCTTCTGCAAGTGTTTCTGGACTTCAAGATTGCTGGAAACGACAATATCGGTTTTGCGGTCGACACTCAAATCATCTAATCGGAAAGACATGAGGTTCTGGAAGAATTTCACAGCGGTTCCCGCAGACTGTCGCGCGGATGACAAGATGGCTTCGCTTCTCCTCTCATCCGGAGCAAACCGTGTAACACCTTTGGCATTCGCGAGCACATCCGCGATGGCACCAGCAAACACATGAAGCGTCTTGATGATTTGAGACTGTGTGCTATTGGGCCCATCCGCGATAAAGTGATTGAACGAGGTGGCAAACTCGGTAGCGCTCATTTGGGCCTTCTCAATCTGGGAAAGTAAATAACCGGGCGATGCACTCTGATTACCTGCATTCATAGGGGATTCTAGCTCGTAGAGGGCATCGTCGATACGCTGAACACCACTCTGAAGCACAGAGTCTAAGATGTGATGTTAGCAAGGCAAAAGAAAATCTAGTGGAGGTCTTACCAATAATCTCTGTCAGCTTCTTGAGCTGATCGAGGAGCAGCTCGTCAATCTGAGCCTCAAGCACGTGATCAGTTTCAGTGTTGTTGTGGCGCATCTCGCTGAGTTCCAACAGAGTCTGGTCCATGCCGGCCTTGAATATTTCAAGCTCCTCCTCCTTGGCCCTAAGCAATTGTTCCATATCATTATGTTTGTCATCGCTCCGAGAGGAAAGCTCATCAATCATGCGCTGCTTCCCACGCAGTATATCCTCCAAGTCCGCCACTTCACGATTATGCCGTGTCAAGAGTGCAGAGAGCTCGGAACCCCTAGATCGCTCATTATTGTCCGCCTTTTCCTGAGCAAATCGGAGTTCTCGTTTCACTTTTTCCACCTCCTCTTTTTGAGCCTGTAGCACGTCAGTAAAAAGGCTAAGCCGGCCATTTCGTGAGAGCACATACCCCCTTGACTCGGTCCAAATCGTACAAAGCACGATCTCTCTCGCGGATCATGTCGGCGAGCTCCAAATTCTTGGACTTCATTTCGCGCTCCAACTTTTCTCGCCTCTCAACAGCCTCTTGCGCAGAATTGGCCTTGAGTTGCATCTGTTTATACCTGCCCAATAGTTCAAGATGCTCGTGTCGAAGCTGGGAGTACAATTTGGCTAAAGCCTCGTACTTGCTTTTCCACATAGCAACCTGGTCCTGCAGCGACTTGATGAGGTCATCTTTAGACTGCTGCTGCTGTTGAGAGTTCAAGTTGAGGTTCATCAACTCTGTCTCAAGAGCTTTCACCTTCTGGTCGTACGACTCCAGCAGCAATACATTGTTGGCCAATTGACCCTGGTACTCCAACAATTGACGTTCCAATTCAGCAGCTTGACCCTGAGCTTGCCGTGCCATCTGATCCCTAAGAAGCTGTTCGTGCGCTAGCCTCTGTTGCTCTTGTTGCTGTCTCTGCATTTCTTCATAGGCCCTCTGGTTCTGCAATGCAAGCATCTCCTGCTGCCGCAATTCCGCTTCCCTCTGCTCCTGTAGCCGGCGTTGCTCCTCCTCGTATGCCCGTTGTTGCTGCAGTTGCTCTTGAGACCAGAAGTCGGAAATCGGCTCGGGTTCGGGCTGGGAAATTGCGGGTGGGCTAGGAATGGGTTCGGGAGGTGGAGGCATCTCGTTCGCCGGTCTACGTGGGAGTGCCGGGGGTGCATCTTCCTCGCTGAGTAGATTGGGGGGGTCCTGGGGAAGCTTTGGGACGGTGATCAAACTCGTCAAATAGCGAAGATTCGAGCACTCGTAGTAAAATCGTACAAGACGGTGGTGCTGTCCATCGTAACGGTCACGTAGGGGAGCGAGCGCATCATCGTCGCCAGTACCTATCCACTTGTGAGACAGACATCCAACCCTGCGGGGGCAACCGAAGCTCACTCTGGTGCATTGCCCTCAACATGCTGGTGATGAACTTATAGATTCCATAGCTCTCCTGGACAAGAGGCACAAGGCAGGAGATACGACACTCGTTGTTGACACCATGGCGGAAGTGGGAGAAGACAAGCTTTTGGAAAGCATCGATCTGGTCTTGCAATGTCATGAGATCGGTGATAGTCTCGTATCCCTCGTTCGGATCGTTAATGCTCTTTAAGCTAATATATTCCTCATAGTCAAACACCCCATTAAATTCCGGATGATGCCTATGAAAGGCCAGCTTTGCCAACAAGAAATAAATGTATTCCCGAATCAAAGGACCGTATCCTGATTCCATTAGCAAAGGCTGGCCCAAGACATGGGCCCGCAGAGATGCATACCCCGTAGCCCCTCCCCGGCTACCCCTCGGGTCAGAGACTCCAACCACCCAGTATGTGCATGAGCCTCACGAATTGTCACAGGGTGACCTTCCTGGAGAACTTTGTGGATACTTATCAACGCCTTGAACGTCTGGACCTCATCCGCCATGATAGGCTGCCTAGAAAAGAATCTCGTTTAGTCTGCGCACAAACCAACCACCCTGGGAAGGTCGGCGTATGATCACGGGGGTTAAGATTAACTTACACTTTCATACCAGCCCAGAAGGACTGCGACGATTTGTGGTCCCATGTGTAAACAATGCAAGAACGGACATGTTTTCCTAAAAACCTTGTTTAGCCTGCCAAATCCCCTCAATGAAGCCGTAAGCTCAAGAGCTATAGTCTATTGTTCGGGGTACCCACGTTTAGGAGCGGTCTCCTCTAAAAGTTACCCCACACTGTCAGCGAAACTTCAAACCGGACGAGAGATGAGTGAAAGGGACTGATCCGTCTCTAATTATTCATAGGAGGTAGATGAGGATAGCGAACCCATATTGGTAGCCTTCTTAATGTTTATCACGAGGTCAGATTCGGATCTAACTTCAGTGTCAGCTCAAATGCTCCCTCCCCCCCGCCCACCAAACGGGGAATCAAGAAAGTGGATAGGATACACACCTGCTCATGTCCACGTTCCGTGTAGACCCAGTATAAGCCATGATAGCAAAGGATGGATTTTTTCGGTATCTCAAAGCTTTGGTATTCAGAGAGGAAGGGTTGGAGGAAAGGAAGAAAGATGGTCAAGGGTAGACTAGATACTAGCAGCAACAGAGGGAAACGAACATTGGTGGAGGAGAACGGTAATTTGCCAAGCCCGTAGACTAATTAGAAACACGCGGGCCACGCAAGACCAATTGAAGTCTTGGCTCAGTGCGGGCAACAGCGGCTCCTTTGTTCCAGTCAGTTGTCGTCAGCAAGCTTTGTAGGAGAACAAGAGAAAGCTGAAAGTCCCCTTGCTTATTTACGACAACCCATTATCATTCTATGGAGCTTTTCTGAGATTTTTCCATATTCTTTCCTTTCCTTCTTTCCCTTCTCGCTCCTTACTGAGTCTACTATAAATATCATACCATTGTCAACCCTTCGAGAGCCCTATTGTTACCATTACAGGCCGGCCGAAACTTTTCTTCCTTTGCACTTGCGGTCCAGCATATCGGCCGCATACCCTTCTCGCTGGCTCCAGTGTCCGAGCGAGAAGATTCTCGCGCAAACCTCCACCACCCTCGGGTAGCTTCAGTGCTAGGGGTGGCGCGCTGCTATCATGTCCCATTGATAATCTGTCGGGGCCTCTCCATCTGGCCGAGCCTGATCGGATTGTCCAGATGCGCTATCACGTTCGTCGCTACGGAGGGCTTGGGATGTGCACAGGTGGAACTGATGCTAGCAGTGATATGGGTACGCGCTGTTAAGCGGTCCATCTCCCGGGATTATTTTGCAAGCTTATGATGATGATTGTGGGGGTGGGGATGGCAGTGTTGTTCCTCGGCGTATCTCTCGTACTTGTTCATAAATAATCTGATGGCGCGATGGTCTGCTCTTCCGCTGCTCTTGGCTATCGTCACCTGGGCTAATTGTTATCATGGCCAGGCTTATATATTACACTCCTCCGGGTATGATACTCTCAACGTGAAGGAAGGAACGAGTGAGTGAATGAGCAACTAGAGAACCTAAGGCTGACCTCTACGTGCTAGCGACCATGGTTCGTCTATTCTCCATTAGTGCCATAAACGCCTACCTCACGTCGTGGGCTTTGACTATCGTTGGAGCTGGAAAGCCACGAATGCTCCTACCTGCATGGATACTGATAGCGCTTGTGAGCTTCCTCTGACTCTCATGCAATGATTGATTTATCATACCCTATTTACTCGATACACGACGAAAAGGTACTCGCGGCCATACATCGGATGACCGTCCGAAAGATCAACCTTTCCCATCAAGTGGCTTCTGCCACAAGTGTGCTGTGCTTTGCCGGTGTTTGCAGCACTCTTGCCCTGCTATTGGAGTTGCACCTCTGCCCACTCACCAGACCAGAATAGACCAGATCTATTGTGACCCTTTGGATATCATACCTTCTCCCGCCCGCCTTTTTACCCCTCTGCCTCTTTTCTCCCCCTCCCTTCATCATTTCCTCATTCCTGCTCCCTCTCTCTCTCCTACTCACTCGTTTGTCGGAGGGTTCTGCAGACGAGCACTGTACGAGCACAGCGAGTATTGGTAACTGGCATAGCCGACGATTAATGTAAAAAGCTGCGGCTAAAAGTGAAAAAGTAGAAAATAAAAAATACTTATTTTCAGCAGGGAGCTTCCAAGTTCTTGGTGCATATTTACTGTATTATATTATATATTCGTACATCCCAAACTAGATGTCGGGCACATGATACCGCGGAAACGCAGCTGTATCGCTTTGACCTTCTGGTTCGCAAAAAAACCGTCCCATCGATCATTAGACTACTGGTAGACTACCCCCTTTCCCTTCCCAAACCCGTTTCACATCCCAACTCGTACATGGCCGACGGACCCATTGCGGCTCAACATCCATCCACCCACCCACCACCAAACCAACCCCACCAACCCCACCAACGTTTCCCCATCTTCTAAACAACATCGACAACAGCAATGCTCCGCTCAGTAATACGAGCACCACTACGACCCCTCTCGCCCTTCCGTCCACTAGTGAATTCCAATGTCAATGTCAGGTACAAGTCGGTGGGCAAGGGCTTGAAATTCACGCCGCCGCCTGCAAAGCCACAACAGAGCTTTCGTTTGACAGCGCAGGCAGGACAGGAAGGGGCAGATATTGGCCTTCTCGTTGGTAATCCCCGCCCTCCCCAGTTCACTCCCACGAGGGAGGACTAACCAGGATGACCAGACACCTTTATAATGCCAACAGGCAAAAACCTCCCCTCACTCTTCACTTCACCGAAAGAACGTCTCCAGCTAGAAGGTAGAAGAATTAAGCAAAAACTAATGGACCTCCGAGAGTACCCCCCCCTCCTCCTCCCTCCACTACCCCACTTCCCCAAATACTAACTCCCCCCTCCTGCTCCTCAGCATGTTGGTATTCCGCTACACAACAAAACACCCCCTCCGCCCCTTCCAAGCCCGCAAATTCGCCGAAGCCCTGCACAAGAACATGTACGCTGCCTTTGCCGTCGGCGACATAGACTCCTTACGCGCCATCTGTGGCGACGGTCTACTATCCTCCTTCCGCAAGCGACTGAGCGTGCGACCCTCGAACGTGCGCATGGAGTGGCGTCTACATCGTATGCTCTCGCAACCACGGGTGGTCAGCTCCAAGGCTCACCATTACGTCGGCCTCGGGTTGAATCGGCGACAGGCGGTCGTGCGATTGCACTCTCTGCAGAGTCTGGCGAAGGTCACGTTGGGTAAGCGTGGGGAGGTATTGTCCAGGGAGGGGGGCGAGGAGAAGGAGGTGGTGGAGTATTTGGTCATAGAGAAGAAGTATGACAAGGATATTGAGAGCCCCTGGAGTGTTTGGGGGACGACGGAGGAGACTACTGGTTTGTTGCTTTTCTTCCTTCCTTCCTCTCCCGGGGAGTGCTAACGGTTTAGCTTAGTGGAGAGGTTGAAACATATGGATGAGCAAAAGAGATTACTCGGGTTGATGTAGAAATTTGAGACGGCATAGAGAGAGGGAGCGAGCAAGAGTTTGCGTATGTAGATTACCGTTTCTTTTGTATATATGATATCTGTGCGTTAAACGGGGCACAGCACGCACAATTACTTGCAAATCCATTAATCTCCATTGTCGGACAAGAGCCTCCAAGTGCCGTAGGACAGACGCTCTCTAGTACTCGTACCGCACAGTGCATGCTCAACAGTAAGGCAAAGTAATCATTACCACCAATCCCCATCACCCCTATCACCAGCCAACAAAAAAAATTAAAAAAATTAAAAAAAAATACAACCTCCTCTCAATCAATCAATCAACTCAACCAGTTATTCAAAGCAACCTGTAAGAGTACTAATATACAATTCACTGTAGCAACCAAACCCAATGCGACAAACAAATAGAAAAGTAAAAAAAGAAAGGAAAAAATCTAAACTTAACCCCAAGTACCACCCCCACCACCCCTCCCCTGCCTCTTCTGCGCCGATAACCGCCAACTGTCGTCACCGTCACCGAACCTATTGAACAGCGGTTGGATCCGCTCATTCCTCCTCCGCTTGCTGAGTTCGCCTTTGCCGCCGCCGACTTTGAAGAAGCTGGGGGCGCAATCGACTGCCATAATTCAGTACATCATCGCCATCATCATAACGGGGGGGAACATACCAAGCCACTTGGGCTCGATGGCGGTGGTGCAATGCATATACTCCTTCGTCGTCATTATCAGCGTGTGGAAGATGACGTGCTCGGCCGGTTTGCCAAAAAGCGCGCTGGAGGGATGCATGTACACCGGTGTGCCCTCGATCAGCGTCTTGTACCCCTCCTGTGGATCCTTCCTTGCAGAGTTCCTAAAGAAGCCAGAACACAATGCCTGCCTAACCCTCATCGTGTCCCGACCACACGAGACGACTCTGTGATTATACCGACTCATAATCATTTCCAGCTGCGCGCGCACGTCCTTCGCACGCTTCATGCTCCGCGCCTGGATAAAGTTGTCGAAGCACCAGGGATTCGAAAAGGCCGAATTTTTCCATGCGTTATAAACGTTCAGTAAGGTCAGGTGGTCGCCGTGTGGGTCGTGGAATTTGGCCTTCTTCTGGTCGGCTTGGTTTTGCTTCTCCTTTGGGCGGTAGAAGACTGTTTGCACAGAGAGCATGGCTACGATGCTGAGAATTTCGTCAGAGCAGCCAATGTCCACGCTTGCTATCAGGACTTTGGCTAACGCAGGTTCCATGGGGAAGTCTGCCATTTTGCGGCCGAGGCGGGTTAGTAAGCCTTCGTCGTCTAGTGCCGATAAGGCGTAGAGCTCTTCGAGAGCTGTCAACATAGTGTTTGTGGGTGGCGGATCCATGAAGTCAAAGTGTAAGAGATCGTTGATTCCCATTGCTTTCAACATCAGAATTGTATGGCTCAAGTTTTGACGTTGGATTTCAGGGATAGAGGTCGGGAGCATTTCAGATTGGAACGCAGCTTCGGTGTATAGACGGTAACATTTTCCGGGCCCCGTTCGACCGGCACGACCGGCCCTTTGTTTTGCCTGGGCTTGTGAGATTGGTGTGACGACCAGAGAATCCATTCCTAGTTTTGGGTCAAAGGCGTTTTGCTTGACGAAGCCGGGGTCGATGACGTAGTAGATTTGGTCAATGGTGATGGAGGTTTCGGCAATGTTTGTTGCGATAACCACTTTCCGACATCCCGGTGGGGCAGGCTCGAAAATCTTGCTTTGCATCTCACTAGGGAGGGCAGAGTAGACGGGGAGGATAATCAGCTCCGGGACGCTAGGCCCTAGAGCTTTCATACGTTCGTAGAGAATCTCGCAACTCGTGTCGATTTCCTCCTGACCTGTCAAGAAGAGCAGGATGTCTCCCGGTGGCTCGCTCAAGTGGATTTGCATAACAGTGATCAGGGCTGCATCAAGATAATCGCTTTCTGGCTCCTTGGTATAAAGAATCTCTACTGGATACGTTCGGCCGGGAATGGTGAAGATGGGACACTGGTTAAAGTAGTTTGAAAACTTTTCCGCATCCAACGTAGCCGATGTGACAATCAACTTGAGATCCGCCCTTCTCTTGAGCGTCTTCTTCAAGAGACCAAAAAGAACATCCGTAGCAATTGTCCTCTCGTGTGCCTCGTCAAGGATGATGACCGAATATCGCCTGAGATCTGGATCGAGTAATACTTCGCGCTGAAGCATACCGTCCGTCATGTACTTGATCTTCGTCTCCGGACCGGTGCAATCCTCAAAACGAATGGTGTACCCAACCTCCTGACCAACTCTACATCCCACCTCCTCAGCCACACGCTTTGCAACGGACATGGCAGCAACACGTCTAGGCTGGGTGCACCCGATCATCCCATTATCTGCGAACCCTGCCTCCGCGAGGAACTGTGTCATCTGAGTAGTCTTCCCGGAACCAGTATCACCAACCACAATCAGTAGTTGGTTGCCCTGCACAGCCTTGATCAACGAACTTCGTAGTTTGAATACCGGGAGGGACTCTCGTTGCTCCTTGATGGTCTTGTTTGTGATCTTTCCAAACGACATGTTTTTGCTCATAGTTGCCCTCTTCCATTCCGGCAGGTCGCCTCCTTGGTTTAGACGGGAGTTCTTCAAATCCGATGCGAATTTGCGATGGTCGGGAGCTACCATTGGATCCTGCCATTGAGCGTTAAGATCGACCTTTTGTGCTTCCTCCGCCGCAACATCTGCTGCCTGTTGCTGCCTTAGCTCTCTTCTCTCCTTAGCTAGCGCTGTACCTCCCATAGCCGCTCTATTGAGTGATCCATCGGGAGCTTTGACAACACGAATTGGAGAAAGTTCCAAGCTCTGTCTCGTCTGACCGGCCAAGAACGGTGGTTCCTCCCCACGAACTTCAATATCAACATCCTCCTCCTCTTCGAATTGCCCTTCTCCAGTCAAGGTCGCATGGTACTCCTCGTCGATATCTGGGTAATCGGCGGCCGAAATTGCCCCGGAAGCGATGAGCTGCTTAATCTCCCAGCGCTCGGGGGAGGACATTCGCTTCTTGACTTTGAATTTCGAATCTTCTTCAAAAGCAGGAACGGTGTCGGAATCAAGACTGCCATACTTCGATCCCGTACCGTCCAGCCTCTCCATGTTGGCGCCCGAGGCGATGCGCTTAGCCGGCTCTAGGTCTCGTCCGGTGTTTTGGTCGACATCCTTCATTGACAATCCTATGCGAGTGCCTTGTACGCTGACAACCTTGACCTTCACCGATTGGCCTCTCGACAGCAGATCTGCCGGGTGGTTGACTCGATCCAGGCGGATTGCCGAAATGTGCACGAGGCCATCCACTTTGCCCTTGACATTCTGAAGACTGACAAACACGCCGAAATCCTTCATCCCAGAGACCCTACCATTGTAAATCTTGTAGAGGACAGGGTTCTCGTCGAGTTCAGGCACAGGTGGTCTTCGGAAATCGTCATCCTCGTCTCCGCCGTATCTATGTTTGCCTCTGCGTTCCCGATCCCGGCCAAAATCATCCCGTTCGCGACCCCTCTTCCTATCCCCCCCTCTAGACCTTGACCCTGACCTAGACCTGTAGTTCCGCGCGAGCCTACCATACGGACTCGGCGAGCGACTCCGTTTCCTAGAGCGTTCTCCCACACCCCGCTCTCTTCCTGGCTCCAATCTTTCCAAAAACGCCAACGCGTCGCCACCCCCGCCCTCCTTCTTTCTATTCTCCGACTTGCTCTTCGACTCCAAATTCTCCAGCATCGCCATCATATCATCTATTGCATTTGGCTCCTTATTCTTCTTCCCGCCCTCCCCGTAATCCTCTTCCCACGTGGGCGGCACCTCCTTATCCGGCAAAGCCAAACCCTTGAACACCCTAGCCTTGGTATCCAAGTCCATTTCCTTCTTCGTCCCTTCTTCGCTCCCATCACCAGATCCTTTTGACCGTTTGTTCTTGTGCTTCGGGTGCATTGTGAGCACCAACCTATCGATGCTAGTAATGAGGGAGTCCGGGAAGTCGACGCCATGTGAGGCAATTATCTTCTTGAACTCCTCGGGGGAGCTGGTTTGCTGGTGCAGGTTTATGACAAATTCCGCGAGCGTCTTGTCGTCGATGCCCAAGTGGTTGCCCAGCTCTGTGGTGATCTTGGAAACCAGGGAAAGGTACTCCAGGTTCTGGAGGTCTTCGAGGGCTTCCATGTTTTCCTTGTTTTTCTTTCTTAAAAGGGAGTGTTGTGGTAAGAAAGAGTCTGTGTGGAGTCGCCGGCTGGAAGGCATGGCCTTAATTAAGTATCAAACCAATAGAGTAAGGGCCTTTGAGGCTTAAGTTTTTGTGGCTAGTGTGGCTAGTGTTCTTCACGAGATATCACTCAGTAATTCCCCTAGGAGTCAGACACTCAAGACCTAAGCAAAACACTCTTAGATAAAAACTTAGGGCCTGCTCGGCTCGACACAAAAATTGCAATTTTTCCACTTTAATGCTATTTTTTTTACTCTTTAGATAATAATAATATTATTATTATTTAGATTGGGCCACGCTCGGCTTGCCACAAAAATTGTGATTTTTTAAAAATTTAATAGCCGGTTACCCTCCTATTAATTGTATCTCAAAAAAAAATTTAAATTGAGAACTTTATCAGATGTAAATAGGATATAGGGTAATCGATTTCTACAAAGGTAATGTACAATTGAAATACTGTAGAACAAATATCATACAATTTTTCCATTTCAGAATATATTCTATTTTCAGCTCTTATTGTGAGTTATTTAAATTGGTACAAGCCGAGCGGGGCCTTGATGTATGATACACGAACGCGCACAGGCTCCAGAGGAAAATTGGAGCACTTTCCGTACAATAGAATAAATTTCGCTGGGCTGGATTGATACCCTAAACAGGCGGGGTTCTCCTACTGTTTTGTCTTCAACATTTGCCTATCAAACTGACTACGGTGAGTTGAATGAGTGATTTCAGGTTGCGGTGTCATCCCATGAAGTGGTAGTAGCGCTGAATTTCAATGGACAAGTACAATTGATCAGTATCAAACTAACAGATATGAGACCGTATTCATCAAGTAAGGGCGGCCCCATTCAGACGACAGAAAAAGCATCTGTAAACCCGTATTACAGTAAGTAACTAGCACTACCCTATCGTACTAATAACGGCATAGTGCGCACACGAAACACCACCCCGGCTACTGACATTTCGCTCCCCCCTTCTTCTTCCCCCCCTTCTTCCTCCTCTTGCTCCCACCATTCCCACAGTCATGCACTTCCATACCCGTTCCACCGGCTTCCACCTGAGCTAAAGTCTGCTCCACCGTCGGCCCCTCCGCCTCGACGATCCCATCATCAAGGCTAAAGTACTTGTGCACCTCGGCGATCACCTTCCTTGCGTCATCTGCAACTCCGCCCCTCTTGCGATCGCGCCACTCGGTCAGCATCTCGACGCCGCGCGTCACCTCGTCTCGGGGCATGCGGCCGTTTGTGCGAACCCACTGCTCCCAGAAGGCCTTGACGGCATCGGCCTCGCACTCTAGGTCACGATGCGCCGAGCGGAGCAGCACGATCATACTGTCCGCCATGTCGTGCGTCAAGCGCTCGTCGACGTGGAAGGTTGTGAAATCGGTGCCGAGTGGGCCCAGGCCCCACGTACGCGGATTACTGGCCATCAGGCAGTCCGCTATATATTTATACCGCTCGATCAGGGCCGCAATTGTGTAGATTAGTTCGGAGATTGCGAGGTCCGCGGCGGCTTTTAGAGCTTCGGTAGGAAGTGTGTCAGGTCTGCGGCTTTATTGGGGGGGGGAGTGTTAGCTTGCTTGAACGTTGCAGGTGGGTTTGTGGGAGTATGAAGTACCGCAGTTGAGAATACCGGTATGATTTGAGGATGAATGCGAAGATTAGAATGAATATCAGTACAAATAGAAATTCGAACATGATAGGCGAATTGCTATGGATTTGAAAGGCGCGGGGGTTGGTATTTGATGGGTGGTTGAGAAGGGGAGGGAGGATACCTGTGCCGGTACTTATAGAGAGATCTAGGATTGAATACTCGTAGTGTGCTGCAATGTATTACGAGACTGGGTACGGTACCATACGTGGTTTTCAGGTAACGCACCTCGTCATCGCATTCGTGGGATTCAGGGCATGCCTCAGGCTACCGGGATAACTTTAATCCGGCTGCACCTTGCAAAATTTCGGAATGAGATGAATTGAATCGACGGGATTGAAATTCATAGGGATAACAGTACCATAATACCGGGAATTGATTGGTCAACTTCGTCTATCCCTCAACGATCCAATTGATTTACATAACCAAGATTACAACTACCGTACTCGAGCACAGTACCATTAACGATCCATCTACTTCACAACCTTCCTCCTCTCCACGTCCTCCAAACTCCCACCGGGGGTCCCATCTCCCTCACAAACTCCACCCTCTCTGGGCAACGGCTTATCAAGGCAGTCAAACCTACCTCCCTGAACCTTACAACGCACCCAAACACCACCCATACGGCACGCGACAGCCAGCGCCAAGAATATCAACGAACCCACTGGAGCAGCAACAAACACCCCGAACACACTCCAGTCATTGGCGTATAATCCCGTCGTCAGGATAATCAATTCAGCAGCCTTCTTTGCATCGCCATAGTATGCGCACCCAAACAGGAATACCGACAGCATACCACCGACGCCTGCGATGATAATGTCTACGCCGCGAAGGAAATACATTGTGTCCAAAAGGCCTAGAAGGATCGAAGGCATCGCAGCGCAGGAGAAGATGTTTGAGATTAGGAAGATACGGAGGATAGAAGGGGATTTGAGAGCGACGACGATTGCCGGGATAGAGACGAGGAGGACAAAGAAACGGACCCAGATGAGAGACAACTTGTTTTTGAAGAGGTCATTTGAGATTGTAGATACCATCGCCGATTGCTGACTGTCGAAGATGGCGCAGCTGAGTGCCACCACCATCACTACCGTAAACCCAACCACCCAGGAGGGGAGTTCCGCGAGTAGTAGGAAGAATGCCATGCCACCGTACATGCCTGGTTCCCAGACACCCGCCCATGCAGCGATGAAGCCGGTAGAACTAACGAGGAGGAGGATGACGAAGATTACAACCGCAGCAATGGATACCCCAATCCATAAGTCTTTATCAGTCTTTGATGCGAATGCGCGCATCCAAAAGCTGGACAGGAACATGAAGCTGAAGAGGATCCCTGTAAACAGAATATAGATTAATTGGTAGCCGAGTAGGGTGTCGTGGGTTAGCCCTGACGGGCCGATCCTGGAGCGGTCAATTTCTACCGATGTGCCGATTGCAATGGTGCAGATAGCGATTAGAACGGCAATCAATACACCTTGGATGTTGTCGGTCAAGAAGGAGATGCGGAAGCCACCAAGAGCTAGAAGGGATTAGCATACTCTCATATTAGGGTATATGTTGGACGCACAGGTATAGATCGAGGTGACGACGACCTCAACAATAACCACCGGGAGACCATTGAGGCCGGTGAGGGTGCTGATGACCTGTTGAAGAGAAGACAATTCTGCAACCATATACAAGAACATGGTGGCAAGGCTGCACACTCGTTAGCTATACAACTACCATCTCGAGGAATTCTCAATCGCTCACCTCAAAAAGGTCAAATAAAGCGCCGCATACGGTCCATACCTCTCCCTCACCCACATGGTAAGGATGAAACCCCCCGGCAACTTCCTCCTCACCTTTGGCGCCAAAATGGCAAACGACATGAGCGGCAAGGCCGAACAAGCAGCATAAGTGATAGCTCCCTGCACGCCGGCAATAGTCCCAATTTCTGGATAGGAGAATAGGATGGCAGATCCCATTGCTAGAAATCATCAGCACCTTTAGGAACATTTTGGGGGGAGAAAACAAAAAGGAATCATGAATAAAGGGATCGGTAGCGGCAACACATTTCCCACGCAAGTCTTAACTTGATCGAGTGCAAACGGTCAATCTCAGCCCGTAAGGTCAGTTTTCCGGGTTCGCCCGATCTCCCACTCAGCGGTAGGGGCAAAGGGGTTGGATCGGGCAAAGAGGTCCACAGCAAACAGGCACCCGTAGTGAAGCCAGCTACACTCTCCGCCCAAGCTTTCGGGCAGCATACCGGTAGTCAAACGTACTGACGCCTGGTCGAGAAGCAACCCAAAGCTTGAGGGAGAGTGCAACAACCCCCAAATCTTTACGAACCTGAACTACCCAATTGGCCTATCACATGTCGAAGGCCATTGCGCCGGTACTATGATTTTCAAGAAATCAAAGACATGGTACGAATGCTTGCCGCTGCCGTCTTTCTTCCCCAAGACGCAGCACTCACCAGAGGCTATAAAGTTGAGTGCCACGGGGATCGCTATAATCCATTAGCACCCTCTCTCTAGTCCAAAAAATAAAGAGTTGAAAAGAAAAAGAGAGAAAAAAATGAAAGACAGAAAGAAAGATGGAGGGAGAATGAGGGCAGAATGAGCGAACCGGTTTGAGTGCGATTCGAATGAATGAATTCCAATTTTGATTGACCACGGTATCGCCAGGCGAGAGCGAGGCCGATTATTCTGGTTTGAATGAAGTTAGTTACACACCCGGCGAGGGAGTCTGCAGAGGGAGCGAAAGCGTACAGGAAGATGGCATAAGTGGTATACATGAGCCCATTAGAAACTGGTTGCGGTGGCATACCCATCTTTGATGTAATGATTGCTGAAGAGTGTGGTCTTTTTATTTTATTTTTAATTTTTACAAGGTGGTGGTGAGCAGCGAAGACTGGAGATGAAGGGTGAAGAGAGCGGTGGGGGGGAGAGGAGAGAATATATACAATTTTTCCTTTCTGTCCCGCACTTTTACTACTCCAGTAGAGTATGAGCACTCTTTCCTTCCCATTTAGTCCAAGTAGGGGGGAATTTTTGAGATACCGGTATTGTACGAGTACGAGTACGAGTATAGATACAGTATTCGAGTACAGTACCCCATCAACCATGGTCCATTCGGGTTGCGACCGATGAGTTCCCTTTGCTCCTACTCTATGATAGTCTATGTGTATGATATGTCATATGATCGAAGGGCGAAGATTCTTCGGGTTAGATTGCGAAATCGGGCTAATCTCTACAAGTTCCTTGGAGAAAACCCCCCGACCTCTTCTTCCCTCGGCATGAAAAATGCATATTACTCGTACAAGTTTATTATCATAGTACTAGTAGTACTGTACAGTACTCGTACTTTGACAAATAGCCTAGGTTTTTGGCTATATATTTTCTTCAGCATCATTTGTCGTCTTGCGGCAAGCGTTCGGAGACGAGGCAGGTACAATACCATACTCGAGTATCCACCTCCCCGACTAACCCCCCCCCGAGTTGGCGAATTTGAGGTGGCTCAAGACGATGCCTTGGCACGTACAATAACCGGCATTCTGCTCTGGTTATGATGCTGATACTGGTGCCAGGGATAATGTTTTCGCACAGTTAATTTAGGTTAACCCGCAAAAAATAACCCCTGTTGTACATGGGAAAATCTCCCCTAGCACTTGTACTAGTACAAGTACAAGTACCGCTAAGACGTCAAAAGTTCCCTCTCTCGGGTAGGGGTACCAGACCATGATCGTAGGATAGTGACCCCTTTAGGATAAGAAAAAAGTAAAATAAAATAAAAAGTGCCGAACCTTACCAGCAAAGGCAACTCCAAGTTCTACTAAATTAGTGCGAGGTTCAATCATTTGGGTCATGGCAATGAACAATCGATATGAACCCCCACTCCCCCACTTCCCAACTATCAAGCCACTCTAGCAGTAGTCTACGGTACTGGTACAATACAAGTACCGGTACGAGAACTCGTACTGAGCACAAGTACCGGATCATACTGCTTAGCACTCTTATCCTTGCGAGCACCCGGGAAAGAACACCGGCATAGTTCGGTCGAACTTATTCTCCCCTACTTGAGGGGGGCCGAAATGAGTGACACTAAGAGCAAAATTCCATCACAGGTACCGATCGATACCTTGTACTGTACTCGAGTACTGCACATGTACAATACACCTCAGCACGCACGGCAAGAGCTCAAGTACCGCAAAATCTGTAGAAATCTAATACCAGTACAAGTACTCGAGTATTAGATCATCTGCGGGGGGACCAGCCCGCCCAGCCCAAAATACCGGCCACCTTGCTCGGGTGTGTCTGTAAAGATCGGAAACAAAGGGTGGCAAAACGGGAATCGGGGGGATAGAGGAATAAGATTTTCCGGAAAGCTCAGTTGTGTTACTAGACGTCTTAGACAAGTATGATACGTTGCACGAGGTGACTTCTGACATACTGTACGAGTACAGTACCGCTATCGTACTGGGGTACCGGTACTAGTACGAGTACTCGTACAAGTACGGCCTGCGGTGAAGAAAAAGAAAAAAGAAAAAAAATTCGGAAAATGACGAAATGGTTTCTGGGGTTTCGATTGGACAGTCTTTCAGTGAGCAACCGTGTTTCTAAGATTTCATTTCCACATTTTCCAATTTTGTTTACCACAGGCTGTACTGTACTGTACTCAAGTACCGTAATACCCTCCCAGTACGAGTACTGTACTGTGCTCGAGTAAATACAGTGAACGTGCTCGGGCTCAAGAGTTAGTCGGAAGCACTGCGATTTTTTTTTGCCATGGCGTGTCTTTCGTCCTGGGGGGGAGGGGTTCGTTTTTCGGCTCGGGTAATCATGCTCCTACAGGTATGTTAATTGTTAATCGCGGGTCTTCCACTAACTCCTACGGTAGTCAGCTATGGACCGCTTGAGGTTATAATAACAACAACATAATAATAATTATAATAATTATTATTATCATAATTATCATACTGTATATACTACGGTAGTATCTTTCAGTAAGACGGATAGGTACTCGAACGAATACCGGTGTTGGGATGTTCTTTTCCTTCCCCTTTCCCGGATGGTGGTTTGACTACGCACTGTGCCCTACCCGCTAACTCACTTTACCTTCACGGTATACCAGAAAGTAATTGCCTGAAAATAGGGACTGGTGAGTGTTAATCAATCTCACAGATAACACAGAGGAATCAAAGAAAGAAATGTAGGTTCAGTTCAGTAGAGATAAAAAAGTTCTATTTCCCAGTGGTGGGTGTGTGTGTTCATTCATTTTTCTAAGAGAAAAAAAAAAAGCTATAAGAAAAAAATCCTGCACGCCAAGCCCCCTCTTACACATGAAAGATATCCAGAGCCTCCTCCCCATCAAATACATGAAACGAACCTCCAAATCAAGCAATTCTCCACACCGGTGCTACAAGTTGCTAATACATTTGTTACCGGTATTCACCAAAAATAAGTACTCGAGTATGGGTATTACTTGAATTTCCTAATTCATGCTAGGTTCTGCGCAAATGGTACTCTAGTTTTGAAAGTGTGCATTTCATTTTCTCTTTTTTAACCTGTTTCTGAAACGATGGTATTCAGACTTTTCTGCTATGACATTAACATGCTCTATAATACTGTAAATTTTGATCTCTATTCTCTTTATAAAATTTCCATTCTCTATTATTCCTTCCTCTCTTACCATAATATCTTCCACCAAACCCATCCCCCAACCATCTTTCGACTCCTATTATTTACAAGTACTCCTTTCGCATATTACGGTAATTCTTTGTCCGACTTATGACAACTTCTAGTTGCTTTTTTAAATTATAAAAAACAACCAAGCATTTTATGTGTTATAATTACTGATATGAGTTCCGGTCTTTAAGTTACATTTTAAGTTCAACATTAATTTTTATAGTCCAAGTTAAATTTGGGGGTTTTTCTTTTTGACAATACTAATTATGTTAAGCTAGGGTACGTCTAAGTTATGAACTTTTCTTGGTAGACATTATCATAGATAACTTTATGTTTACAAACTTAAACACACAACCCTATTAACTTAGACAATAAACCGACACCTTAAATCCAAATCTGCATCTCGTCTCGTGTCGGGCGTCTGGAGGGCTGTCCGGGCGCCTCCTGGTTTGAGATCCTGAATTAAACTCAAAAATTAAATTTTATGATGTTAGATGGATTTGATTATGGGACCGGGAGACACTTTGATATATAATTTGTTCAATTCACGTGAGCGCCCATGAGCTTGTTGGTTGCGAATTTTGGATGAGGAGGGTTGTGGAATAGGCCTGTCCATTATATTATCATAATGTTATACTTTATAATAATATTATAGTAGTTTATTTTACCGGTAGGCTGCTGGTTATTGTCCTCGATTATGCCCGTTCGGCGATATGATACCAGGATAATTATTTTATTGAACCTTACTTACCGTAGCAGCAGCACTTGCCGCCCGTGACTTCACGCACTTCTACCATACCAGTACAGTACTCCCCCCATACTCCCCCCAGACTCTAACCAACACTCATCAACCGATTTCTCTCTACCACCACTGAACTTGACCAGACCTAAAAGGTCGCGAAAGCGCCATCTTCCTCTTCCCCTACAGAATGACCTCCGATCAGCATCACGAGTCAGTGCATTCCGTACACAACAGCCCGGCCGGTCATCCTCCACCGGCAATCGCACCGTTACCCTATTCACGGAAAGACGAAAATGAAGTTACGCCAGTGCCTCCACCAGGATACCAATCCCCAGCCGAGCAGGAGAAGCTTCGGAAGATTGACGAAATTCTACACTCGGACGTAAGAGACTCTCTGTCGAGATTCTCATTCAGGAGCTGATTAAATGACAGATTGGGGTATCATCGCTTCTCACCAGATTAAAGCAGAGCATTGCGGCTTGTAGGGTAAGGATCTTCTTGATTACCAAGCGCGTGGCACCTACCTAACTACGATTCCAGGATTTTGCTTTATTTCTCAAGAGACGGGCAAGCTTGGAGGAAGAACACGCGCAAGGTTGACAAACCCCGCTCTTTGGCATGTCAATTGTCAATCGATCTAAAAATTCACAGGTCTCAGAAAGATATGCCGAATGACCCATGAGAGTATCAGACGACCTGAAAACCGACAGGGAACCTATGCGCGCTCGTTCGAAGAGACCACACAAATCCATGAACGTATTGCTGAAAATGGTATCCAGTTTTCTCTTGCCCTCCACCAGATGCATGAGGACCTTACGGAGTTGTCAAACAATATGGAGAGGGGCAGAAAGCACTGGAAACAAATTGGGTTGGCAGTTGAAAAGAAACTCCACGAAGCCGAACTGGTCGTTGACAAGGTTCGTTCCCCGAATTAGCCGTTCTGATGATGCTGTTACTCACCCCCACAGGCCAAGATCAAGTATGACACCGCCGCAGAAGAGTGGGATAGGGCTCGATCTGGCGATCGCCGTTCTGGAAAGACTCCGTTCAGTTTGAGGGGTAGCAGGAATGGGCCGCGGCATGAGGAGGATCTCCAGCGTAAGGTTGCAGCTGCGGATAGTGAATATCACAGCAAAGTCCAGCTTGCCAACTCGCATAGGCATGATGCCATACATTCTCTTCGTCCACAAGCTGTACGAGCCTTGCGTGAGATGATTGCGGAATGTGACGCTGGTTTGACTGTTCAGCTTCAGCGTTTCGGTATGTCTGTATGCGTTCGGGTTGCGATAGAGCTTATTTGCTGACCATTTAGCTCAATTCAATGAGAAGCTCCTCCTCCATAACGGCCTTAGTGTGAGTCCTATCAGAACAGACGATGCAGATTCAAGAGGCGCTCAAAGCATGCGCGATGTCATCAACATGATCAACAACGACAAGGACTTTGAGAGTTTCGTTCTGGACCTAGCGAACAAAGTTCACCCTCCAGCCAAGAATCAAGAAGTTAGATATGAGCGACATCCAGTATGAACGCTCCCCACAAAGATCGCCTCACTGACTAACCATAGCGAGCAGAGTTTAAACCACCACCACACACCCAGCCCGGTAGTGCCACACACCCCTTCGACCACATCTATGCAGCCCCAAAACTACCAGGCCAACCAACCTCAAGGTATCCATGGACACCAGCCAGATCACCGTGACATGATGGCCCAAGGACAAGGCTTACAACAACAACCCCAAGGTTTCGGAGCCGTCGTTCAACAGGCGGCGATCTTACCCACCCAACACCCGATGCCCAATATGGAATATTCTCACTCCCAGTACAGCATGGATTACCCTCGTCTCAAGCCGGTTTTCGGAGTTCCCCTCGACGCGCTTCTCACCCGCGATGAATCTGTTGTCCCGATTGTAGTATTGCAATGTGTTCAAGCCGTAGACCTTTATGGACTGGATGTTGAAGGAATCTACAGAGTTTCCGGCGAAAGAAAGCATATTGAACGGATAAAACAGATTTTTGATAATGGTATGGTTCTTGTGAGGCGAGAGACATATGTGATACTAACATTACGGACAGACTCTTCAATCTTGGATTTTAGAAAACGGGAAGATTTTTTCTACGACGTCAACGGTGTCGCCAGTATCCTAAAGCAGTTTTTCCGTGACTTACCAGAGCCTCTCCTCACGAACGCCTTATATCAAGATTTTATCAAGGCATCGCGTAGGTCATCCCTGGATTCTTAAATTTCAGGCTAATTGCCCTTTGGAGTTGAAGATGCTTCTACTAATACGGCCGACAGACATCGATGATGAAACTATTCGCCGAGACTCTTTGCACGAATTGATCAACAGGTTGCCGGACCCTAATTACGCCACCTTGCGAATTTTGATCCTGGTGGGTTTAATGCCTTTTAACGCGAGGATATCTTCTAGACCAATATCTAATACGCATATATAGCATTTGCACAGGATCCAGGCAAACTCTAATATCAACCGAATGAATACAAACAACCTTGCCATCTGCTTTGGGTATGTCGTGGCTCTCTGTGTAATTACGGTGGACAATGGCAGCTGACCAATTACAGACCGACTCTGATGGGTTCTAATACTTCCCCTAATATCGCGGATGCCACCTCGCAGGTTCGTGTCATTGATACTATCTTACAACACTGCTTCTCAATCTTTGTAAGTACTCATACTCTCTGCCCTTGCTCCAGCATCGCTAACATGCCGTCGCAGGACGATGACTGAGGGCTGAGTCACTAGCTAGACTTGATTGTTTATGCTTCTATACCTTCCTTCTTTGCCTCGACCCCCATACCTATATTTCAGGGATACCCATCACCCAAACCCTGTACCACCTTACACCTACGAGTATTTCCTATGTTTAACCTTCTGTAGCCTTGCTCAATTTGGTTCTTTTTTAATTTCTCCCGTCAAGGATTTCCCCGAGTTCCCTCATACAGGTTGGTAACCTTTACACTTCTTGTGCAAGTCGGAAAGTCTTTGTACCGTAGTTTATTATACCTGAGCCTGCCATGCCCAGTGCACAACATTTCTTATAATTTAGATACCATTGCTTTACGGATGTTTGCAATGCGATAGCGCAGTGATAGGTGTCGTTTCCCCAAAACGTGCGGACATCATAGCCCCACATAACATGACTTATTTATAGTGAGGAAGAAAACAGAAGACACCTTGCTGACTTGTACTTTGGGCTAATAAAGCTTCCGTTACGGCGCAGGGTGTATTCACCATAGCTATGCCATTATTCAGCTTGCAGAAATTCGCGGTCACTTACCGGCATGTGTCTCTGTCTTGGCCTTACCTCTTGACCGTCCACCGCTATTGTAGGCACCGTATTCAACGCTCAGTGAATCTTATGCCCAGGATCAAGATTATCATTATATATTCACAATAACGTGTCACTGAAAAAATTGCCAAAGTGCAGTTTGCGCTTCAGCTCCGGAGCCCCTCTAAAAATATCGTCTTACATAGCAAATACGAGTACAGTCAGTAGTCCTCCCTCTGCTTTGCTTTCCATCCACCGGTAGCGCGGAACAACATGTAGGCAAACCTTGTTTGCATGAACCACCCACCACAACGGCATTCACCAAAAGCTTTACTAGCATCCATCCACCATCCCGTCGTCCCTGCATCCTTCCTCTAACCACGTTTTGTCCCTAAGGCGCATGCCGTATCAAGCCAGCAACGCAGATACCGAACAATACCGTACCCTGCAGCACCGGTCAGTCAGTCAGTCAGTCAGTCAATCAATCAATCAATCAATCAATCAATCAATCAATCAATCAATCAATCAATCAATCAATCAATCAGTCAATCAATCAATCAATCAATCAATCAATCAATGAATCAATCAATCAATCAATCAATCAATCAATCAATCAATCAATCAATCAATCAATCAATCAGTCAGTCAATGAAGCCTGCAGAAAAAGCCCTGGAGGGGCTATTGTCCACTTACCATGAGCTCAACAATGCCTTTGTCCCCCGGGTGCCGGGACCTCCGACGCCGCTAGAGTTCCTCCAGTACGTGCGGAGGAATCAGCCGGTCGTGTTTACCGGGCTTATGAAGGGGTGGGGGGCATTGGAGCGGTGGGATGACGGGTATTTGAGGGAAAGGATGGAGGGGTGCAACATTGATATTGCCGTTACACCTTTGGGGTTTGCTTCCTCCATATCATGGTATCTCTCAATCCCATACTGTATCCGTAGCTAACCGAACTTGTTCGGTGAGAGCAAAAAAAAAAACGTAGGAACGCAGATTCAATTGTGAGCGTTGACGGAGTGGAACATTTTGTCAGGCCTTACACGAGCTCAGAGCCCTTCTCCTCGTTTATGGACTACTTGCGATCCCGTCATATGAATGACTCGTCGACAACTCCTTCGACAATCAAGTATGCGCAGTCACAGGACGGGAATCTGAGCAAGGAATTCATCGCGCTGGCACCTGACCTACCGTCTTCCCTCGCTTTCGCAGACTCAGCTCTTTTGTCGACGCCCGACGCGGTGAATGTGTGGATAGGTAATTCCGATTCCACGTCTGCACTCCACAAGGACAACTACGAGAATCTGTACTGTCAAGTACTAGGCAAGAAGAAGTTTGTTCTACTCTCACCGTTGGAGGGGATATGCGTGCGCGAGAAGTCTCTCCCCGTCGCCTCTTACGATTCTCGGGGCAAAGTCGTTGTGGAGGAGGGACAGAGTGTAAATTGCTGGCCGAGCGTTGACCCTGACGTGGGTGATTGTGGGAAATGGTGGGGGAAGGCGAGGCCGATAAGGGTGGAATTGCACCGAGGTGAGGTTCTGTATCTACCCGCCCTGTGGTACCACAAAGTTTCTCAGGAGGAGGGGGATGAAGGAATATGTTGCGCCGTCAATTACTGGTGAGTCGGTTGCATACATTTGGGGCTGGTCTAGTTTGTCGCACTAACGGATAGATAAGGTACGATATGGATTTTGAAGGCCCTTTTTATTCCATGGTTCAATTTGTGAGGGATTGTGCAAAGGCTTGCGAAACTTCGGAAGGGGGAGATGAGCAAGAGGAACACGCCCCTCGATAACCACTCCCGTTCGATGTCTCAGTTTTAGAGCAAGTAGATTTGAGCGGCTTTGTTCAGACTAAGTAGTGGGGGACTCGAGGTCAGCTATGCTGTGAATAATCATTCGTCGTTACATTCCATTAGGCCCCACGTCAAGCGCCACAGGCGACTTTGACGATACAGGAAGGAGCCACGAGCCACGAGCCAGGAGTATGTATATTGAAAATGTCATTATCACAGCTCGGCAGAGCAGAAGGCTTCAACCAGGGTTATGTTGCGTTAATAGTTGGTTTCTCGCTTCCATGTCGGTCGGTTTACCCGAACCACACCATCTCTCTCACCAACTGCAGCTGGCAGCAGCAGCACCTTTCCCATTTCACCTCTCATCCACACGGCCAACCAACTCCGCCTGCCACCACCAGTCCGTAGTTGAGGTCTGCCACCACAACTATACCTATCACCAACATCCTCCACACCCAACCTTTCTTGGTACCACAGGGGAAAAAAAATTTCTCGAACTTCACCTCTCGTCCTTTCTCCCTGACCACCAGAGTTGCCAAAAGCTCTGTATGTTTAACCCCCCCCCCTTGGAAAAACGTCGCTCCCGCTTCTCCTAATAGCTGTACCTTTGGGGGCTTCTCTCGCTAACTTGGACCCTGGGATTTCCTTCGTTTACAGTGAAAATATTCATTTGGTACTTTCTAGCTATTTCCAACCACTTCCCGTACCCCCTACTCTTCAACCCCCTACCCCCCCGCTACTGCAACCCTCTGTCCTCCTCCTCCTCATCCTCCCTCGCCAACTCTAAGCGCTTTCCCAGCCTCAGTCCCCCCCTCCCCGCTGTTTTCTCGCAGAAGAAAAACGAAACAAAGTAACACCCGACTGACCGCGAACTCTTTCCCCTTTTCTGTGCAGCGAGCTTTCAGTTTACCCACAACATTGATACCATGGCAGCTGCGACAAAGTCTCTTAAGGTTAGATCTCTCCAATCACAGCTTTCGGCCACATCTTGGATTCCTTCCGCCATGACTGTTGTGCGCGTAACAGTTTTGCTAATGTTAGCTATGAGGGTTGATCCCAATAGTGTGTGGTTACTGGTGACGGAGCAGTCGGAAAGGTACAGTTTTTCTCTTCGTATTCCCCTCGCTGACAATTGCGGATTAAGAGAAGAGGGAAAAAAAGACTAATATTGAATACAGACTTGCCTCCTCATTAGTTATACTACCAATGCTTTTCCTGGGGAATATATCCCTACTGTGTAAGTCGTGGTCTACAATAGTTTTAACCGCTCTTGAATCACGAGCTAATGTTTATCTCCTTCCTCTTGTGGATGTCTGCAGCTTCGATAATTATTCCGCCAACGTCATGGTCGATGGAAAACCTATTAGCTTGGGTCTTTGGGATACTGCGGGCCAGGAAGATTATGACCGTCTGCGACCTCTCTCTTATCCTCAGACCGATGTTTTCCTGGTTTGCTTCAGTATCGTGAGCCCTCCTTCTTTCGACAACGTTTTATCGAAGGTTCGTTGCCAATTATATCTTTTTCGATCCCTGTGGCACGAAAGGCGTGGAATTAACTTTTTAAATAGTGGTACCCGGAAATTTCCCACCATGCTCCCAACATTCCCATTATCCTGGTTGGTACTAAGCTTGATTTGCGTGACGACCCCAAGACTGTTCAGGGGCTTCGTGAGAAGCGCATGGGACCCATCAGTTACCCTCAGGGAATCCAGAGAGCCAAGGAGATCAACGCTGTTAGGTGAGTGCTCGACTGACTACTCGCGAATTATTTTTTTATATTTTTTTTCTGGTATTAACCAGCTCTTGTTCTACCGCAGATATCTCGAGTGCTCTGCTCTTACACAGAAAGGTCTGAAAAATGTTTTTGATGAAGCAATTAGGGCCGTTCTTATGCCCGCGGCGAAGACAAGTAAGAAGAAAGGATGCATCATCCTATAAGCGTCCAATTGGAGGATAGGTACGAGTTAGGTTTTTTTTTTTTTTTTTTTTTTTTTTTGAATCACAGTACCTTATGATTGTATGTTTGTATTAAACTGTGGCCGAACGCGCCTACTATTTTTTACATTTGGGAGCTTGTCCAAGTCTAGTTTTTATGTTAAATTTCCATGTGGGCAATGGTGTTCATTTTTATGTATGTTCTTTATATTCCTCTTCTATCACGAAATTATTTCCTGCTTTTTTCCCTTCCTCTTCAATTTTTTTCTTCTTCTTTTTCTTCCTTTCTTGGGATTTGTTTTCCCACAGCATGCAAGATGCGTACTGTAAAAGAGGCTACGATTGTGATGTGCGCTTTTTTTGGTTGCTGGATTGAGATATCGTTCGATATAAAATAACCTTTTGTATCTATCCACATACCGGTAGTACAGTATAAGCCCACCTGTCTTGACACTAGGCCATATTATATTTATATTATACACAATCTCGACTCTCATCTAAGCCATGATGTTCCCGCGTCTACTCATATGAACACCACTTTCATTATCCCCTTCACCCCCAGCAGCCCTCTTAGCTTTCTTCTCACCTTTGAGCTTCTCCTCCTCCTCAGTTCTCCTCTTCCGTTGGTCGTTCAACCGCCCATTCTTTGCGCGCAGCTTTTCCCTGCGGTCTTTACTTTTTGCTCCGCCTCCACCGGCACTGCGCCTTGTCAGTCATTTCCCGCACTTTCTTCGCTCGCTACATTACAGACGGGAGAACATACGTAAGCTCAACATTAATCTTCCTGTCTAAGAAGACGCTGTGGTGGTACTTTGCCAGACAGGACTTCATCCGGTCGTAGGAAGTGAATTCCAAGAAGGCGAAGCCCTTGCACGTGTGCGGCGGGGCCTTGCCAGTTATCAGCCGTATGCTCGAGGGCTGCAGGGAGGAGAAGTGCGATTGGAGCTGCGGGTGGGTGGTGGTGTAGGGGAGGTTTCCGATGAATACTATGAAGCGGTGTGCGGGTTTTGTCGTGTTTCCATCTTCCTGCTTTTCGGCGGGTTCGCCGGCAATGGTGGGTGGGTTTGGGTCGGTGGACTTTTTGGACTTTTTGTTTTCTTTCCGTTTTTCTGGCTTGGGCTCCTCCTTTGCAGATCCAGCTTTGGTATCCTCCTCCTCCTTGGACTCGGCGGCGGGAGGGATTGTGGGGGTTGCTTCTTCAACTTCGTCCTCCAGATCGACGTCGGAGATTTTGCGCTTCGGTTTGCGCTTCTTCCGGCTGTCATTTTCGCTATGCTTGTCCGAGTCGCGCTTTTTGCGGTGGGATTCTTTGATCGTGGGCATTGTGGTGGTTTGTGCTTGTAGATTGTCTGTTGCCGGAATTCTGTTCTGCTCGAGGCAAATTGATAAAATTCGATATTTGCTGTGGGAATGCCGGCTTGGCGTTGCTAAGCGGTCAAATATTGAGTTTACTACAGTAAAGGTGGCGTCCGCCAGCAGTGTTGGGGTCTTGCTTAAGTTGTAGACTATATCTACTCGTATAGTGGGTTCCACTACTCGAGTAGGTCGTTTTGGTAGGAAATAACTTGGAGCTAAATTTTATTTTTGACAGGTATTACTAGTACACAAGTCAGATTAAGTTATCGAGGTTCACAATGCACTATCATACTGTCATACTATCATACAAACATCACTCGAGTACGTCGAAGTGTTTCTAATAAAACATTACTCTCCCTTCGCCCCTTTCAAATCTCGCCTTCACTCCGGCGAACCCGAGAATCTCCATTATACCCTTCTGCGTCTCCCGGATGTCAAACGCTCCGAAGCCCTTTTTATCAACATACGATGCATCAATAACGACGTTCTTCAATTCGTCCACTTTCAACACACCCTCTTTTAGCAGGTCCAGGATCCTCCCGGGTGTGCCAACGCCAATGCCTATCCGGCTAGTCTGACAGGTTGTTATGGAATCCTTTAGCTTGATGTGCTTTGCAAACAGCTTGGCCACTAGGCTGTCCTTTGTTTGGTATTTGCGGACCGCACGCGCAAGGTCAGTCGCTCGGACGGCTGCTAAAGTCAAGATTAAAGTGTGAGGAGTTCCTGGGGTGGCTGCTGATTTAATAAGTGCGAATTTAGAGACTGCAGAGTTAGTTGGAGGACCGCAAGGTGGGAGGGGGGACGAACAGGATTCCAGATACGCTGGGAGATTTCGCAATGTCCTAGGAGGGGTGAATGCCGTAGTATCCAAAAATGCAGATTCTACCAAGAAGTTCAGCAACAATCCCATTGCGCATGAATTCTGGCAAGAGCCAACCAGATATATAGCGATCCTCCAATTCCACAGAACTCAAATCCTTCTCGAACCGTTTCAATCGCTGAGAAACGTAATCTGCCAGTAATTTTGGATCCATCCTTGCCATATCCTCATTCACGGGCTCGGTTTCTCCACCGGGGACATCTGTCGCTGTGGACTTAACTTCGCCACCTTTCCTCGTTTCCTTCTTGCTCCGATGTTCGAGAAGCTGGGGGGCGATTTCGTCGCCCTCCGACTTGGACTTTTTACCCTTTTGCTTGTTGAGTTTTTCCCTTTCCCGTTTGCGCTTGCGCCTGTCGGTCGTGCTGGGGGTGGACCTTGCATACGTGCTGGGGTCTAAAGTTTCGGCGCCGTCGAGGACTACACCACCGTCGTAGTCGTCTTCGCTGTCCATTGCTGTATTTCCTAGAGAAATATCGTAAATCGGCTACCCAAAGGGATAAAATAAAAAAGCTTTTTCATGTGGCGGGATGAAGGCCGGGTAATAGGACTTATTATCACGTGAGTGCACACCCTGCATCGCGGTTCCCTTGTTTTCGTGTTCGAGCTTATTGGCATCCACTAAGCCCATTGTAGCAGCGACAACACCAATTACAACGACGATGGAGAATAGAGATGACAATTCTGGTGGATCTGGTGAGCTGCCGGGAATTACTCCTAGGCATTCAGTGGCTCCGGGATTAACTACGGAGGAGGCGGATAATGAAACTCCACAAGCTACTGTTTGTTCTCCTTCCATTCCAACATCCCGATATCCACTGCTAACCCGCAATATAGCTGGTACAACTGGCAAAAGTGGTCAACGCACCTGCTACACCCCCGCAGCAAACATCTACCTCAGCTGCGGCTGCATCACAGAAGAAATCAGTAAGGAGAACCCCCGGCGCAGGAAGGCTTGCGCCATTGCCGAGTAAGCGCACCGCTAGATCTCCCCATGTCGTCCGCGCGTTCGAGCAACGTAGGGCGGTAACGCCAGGGCGTGAGCGCAGAAAGAGTGGGAGGTATCCAGCTGCGAGAGAGACGCCGAGGGATTTGTTGAGAGCTTTGAGTCGGCGTGCGTATTTCTTCCCTCCTTCCCCTCTTGTCATATAACCAGTTGAGTGCTAAATATACCAGAACTCGCAACAACGTCCACCCAATACGTCCCCTCCCCGGCACAGCCGGCCCCGCGCCCCGCCCCTCGCCCCTCATACTCTGACCGCCGTGCCTCAGACGTCGTATTCTACAGCGACCCTGGACACAACTCTGGAGATGAAGACGAGGAGCTCTCGCCCGCGCCGAGGCTAAGCATGAATCTGAATGAATTCGAACAGGCGGAGGAAGAAGAGGACGCCCGTCTTCCAGTCCCAAGATATTCACTGCCGCTGGAGAATATTGAAGATATGGATTATACGCATACCTCGATTGAGTTTGGGCGTAGGGCTGTTACGGAGAGGCCGTACCGACCGAGCTTTGGTATTAGGCTTAGTGATCGGTTCGCAGATTTTCATGGAGTCACAGGGGAGAGTTCGCCGAGGACTGCGGGGTATGAAGATGGAGATGAGAGGGAGGAGGAAGAGGATGGGGAGACCGGGGTTATGTGAGTTTGAGTTTGAGCTTTTGTTGCTTGTTTTTGCTGTCTGAGGTGGCTAATTTGGGTATGTAGGGGTGATGAGAGCGTTGCTAGTAGAATGTCGGTTGTAAATGATGGCGATGGGGACGTTACTGGTGATATCACTGGGGCTTTGGATGGGAATTTGGATTTAGATGGGGATGAGCCGTCCTTTTTCTTGCCTGTTCCAGAAGAGGGAGGAGAGGGGTTTGCTCAAGATGATATGGGAGAGAGTGAGGATGGAACATTACTCAACGGGCATGCGCACGAAGAAGAGGAGGAAGTGGAGGAAGAATACGATCTTCCAGAAGTCATTTCGGCACAAGAGGCTTCTTCCTCCACAGTCCCGAAGCCGGCTTCGGCTATTAAGAAGAGACGTAAACCTCTTCCGCTCTCTCGACATGGAATACCATATCCACCCTTCCCTCGACACACCATCAAGAAAATGGCTACAAAGTTCTCCGGATCCACCATATCTGCTGATACCCTCGATGCTCTAGTTGCTGCCAGTGAAGCATTCTTCCAACAGGCGTCGGAAGACCTGGCGGCCTATTCAAAGCATGCGGGCCGAAAAGTCATTGAAGATTCAGACGTTATTCAGTTACTACGAAGGTGTGTGTCCCATCTATATTTATAAATAAATAAATAAATATTTACAATGTAACAGACAGCGCCAGCTCAACCCTCAGACCACAGCGTTCTCACTGGCCCAGCGCTATTTACCCAGAGAGCTGCTTCAGGAGATTCGCATGCCTGTGAGTAAAGCTCAGCCCCGCCGGCGGCAGCGGCAAAGACCGAGTTTGCAAACCGTCGAAGAAGACGGGGATGAAGTGGTGGTGGATGGGTAGATGCACAGAACCTTGATATCTAATAATGATACAAAAATGCAATGTACAATAGTATTCTTTTTTTCTGCTGTCGTCGTCATTCAAGCCCAGTCGGTACTGTGTCGGACTCTCTTTGCAATGTCTGTTGGGGGTTTGCGAACGAGGATGTAAAACATTACCGAGGTGGCGAGGGCAAGGCCGTACCTAGAATTGTATCATTAGCATCGCCTATCTCCTTCTAAAGTGTGTGGGGGGGGGAGGGTATACCAAGTAACGATATACTGCATATGATTGTTTCTCAGATTCACCTCAGCAGCTCTAGCAATGGGCACCCCCTTCTCCATATTTTCCATCGCAACCACGAAATCCGGCTCCACCGTCTCCTCGATCCAGACCGGTTGAGCGCCGACCAACCGCGCCATCCCCTCCACATCCGGGAAATAGAACTCCCCCTTCTCCGGCACGTTGTCCGGCGTGAACATATTCTTCTTCCAGGGAGTCCTGACCAACCCCCCCACCGTGACTTCCCCCGCGGGCAGACCGGCCGGATCGCGATCCTTATGCAGCCTCTTCTCCTTCGATATCCACCCCCGATTCACCAATACCTTGCTCCCCCCGTCCGCCCGTTCCAGCGGGGTGACGACCTGGTACCCGTTCTGTCCCTCATAAATCCGCGGGCCGATCAGCATCTCCTGGTCATGCCGGAAGCGCCCGGTCGCGAGGACGCGGCGGTAATCGAAGGAAGGAATCTGCTCGACGTCTACCCTTGGCGGTAGTGGTAGCGGCGGGGACAAGAGACGGGATGTGCATCCCGTTATGAGCTCGGTTTTCCAGTTCAGGCGCTGGACCTGCCAGGTCCCGAGAGCGAAGGCTGTTATTGGGATTGCCGCAAGGATTAGCAGGCCGGGGCCGTGTTTCCTCCCGCCGGCGCGGACAAGCGTTGCCGGCTGGTCGATTATCGAGACGAAGTTTGGGTTGTCGGCGGGGTTGTGGGCGCTCCGGCGGAAGTGGAAGGGAGGTTTTGGGAATTGGTGAGTTAGCGGGGTGCGTATGCGTGGGAGGGGAAATGGGCGCAGGAGGGGGGGCATTGTTGGCTTTATGTTCAGTGTGTTGTAGTGGTTGGTGGAAGTTTAGGTGGAGTTTGTGGTGGTAATAGTATCATACTGTAATCGTAGTACTCGTAACTTAAGGACCCACTGTGTAGTACCCTAACCCATGCATGAGGTCAGAACTTACTTTTGAGGCGGGAAGCCACATTACTGTTCGCGTGTGGAGGCTGAGCGCCCCTTTGTAAATTAGGGGCATGTCAGGCTTACGATAAGTTACCGGTACTCGAGTAAGTTGGCGCCTTTCCTTAACAACTCCACTACGAGTCGACTACACTTCTACCTTCACCTTTATTCCTTCTTCTCCTCCCTATTCTCAACTTGGGCATGTTCTTTTCCGGCACCCTTCAAGAAGCCGTCACACTGGCAATTGAGCAGAACAGCTCTCTAGCTTGCTTTGTCACTGGTACGCTAAATTTGCTCTCGGCATATTCCCCTGACTGACGGATGCATATATTATAAATTGTAATACTGACTACAGGGCATAGACGGAACCGACGAAAGCGCGTCCTGGGAGAATACGTATTTCACAGATGAGGAGGTTTGCCCCTCCTCACCGTGCTTTCTTTTTATTCTATCGCAGTTGTTGTTGACCCCGACTTGTTCGTGCATAGGCGGCGCCGCTATTGGCACAATGCGTGCTCGTAAGATTGCAAGCTGGTTCGGCCGAGGCGGGATTCTTGGCGGCGTTTTGTCCGATACAGGATGTTCCGTATTTTACTGTTATTAAGTATGTTTTAGCTCTTGAGGTGGTTGAGGAGGGGGGTTGCTGACGGGCTGCTGGGCGAAGGCATGGGGCTTTGGTCGCGAACATGAAGGCGGGTGATTCAAGGGAGGAGTTTGTGAGACTGTTGAAGGGGGCGCTCGCGGAGCCGCAAGGTGCGCCGCAAGCAGCTGCAGCAGTCCAACCACAAGCTTCTCCTGCGCCGGCACCGGCGCCTACTACACCTCCGAGAGTAGCAGCTTCGTCTGAAGCACCAGGGAGAGCGGACAATTCATTGTTCCTACTACAACAGAGGAAGAGGGAGCAGGCGGCTAGCGGGGAGAGACTGCGGGTATTGCAATTACTGGATAATGACAAGAAGGAGCGAGAAGCGCGATGGGGGAAGAATGTGGCAGGGGGCAAGGCTTCCTCGACCTCAATTGCTGGACAGGGGGCACCAAAGTCACATTCACCTAGCGAAACGGCAATATCATTCCGGATGTTTGACGGCTTAAGCTTAAAAGCAAAATTCCCCTCATCCGCAGTCCTGGCGACCGACGTTCGCAAGTTTATCGACGAATACCGCACAGACGGTGACCACCCCTACAGCTTTCTGCAAATACTCACGCCGCTACCGAACAAGCAGATCACCATCTCCGAAGAGAATTCCACGCTGAGCGAGTTAGACCTCTCGCCGACATGCACGCTCGTCCTCGTCCCCATATCCTCGTCGCCGGCGTCGGCTTATAGCGGTGGTGGAGGATCCACGGAGGGCGGGGGGATATTTTCGAGGATTTGTGGATTGCTCTACTCAATTGTAACTACTATCCTTGGGGTCGGGTATCACCCGCCTATTCCTGCTTCTGTGAATGCTGAATTGGGGAAGGGTCAGAGTTTGCCGACCGCGTCCTTTTCGTCCTTGTCGGATGCGTCGACTTCGGGACAGGCATCCTCGAGGGAAGAGGTGTCGGGTGCGAGGATTAGGACCCTGCACGATGGGAGGGGGAGTGACGGAGAGGAGGCGGATAGGAAGTATTATAATGGGAATCAGGTGTGTTTTCTTGGTTTCTCTCGTGAGGGGTGACTCTTGGTCTAATGATTGGACAGCTCGACTTTGAACCTCAGAGGGATGAAGACTCTAGTGAGGTGATTGATTGACATATGGTTGGTCCGGCTTTAATCTCACATCTTTAGCTGGATACCTGTTAGCACTACGGTACGGTACTCGTAGCTGTTTCATGTTCTTCGAACATTTTTCCCTTGGAATGAAAACCACCCTTTTAGCCGGGGAGTGTCTGCGCTAGCCCGAATACCGTACCGTATGTTTGAATTTCTATTTCTATTGGGAGAGCGTGAAAGGGAGAGAAGATCTCGTCGTGACTCACTCGCTGACTGGGGGGGAGTAAAAGCTGAGGCATTTCCCCCGTGCCATATCCCATCCTGCCTAACCCGAATATCCGAAACCGGAGGGTTTTATGCCGATACTATACGAGTAATTGAGTACCGACACTTCCCACAGGGGGGGGGGCTTTTCGAACCTATTGTCCACTATCACAGCGTAAAATCTCTTGAAATCCACTACCGTATTTCCACCTGCCTTGTTATCTCCGGATTGAGAGACGGGGGTTTCCCGAGAAGAAGTATGATAGTATTTTTTTTTGGTACGGCACTGAAAACCGGCGGGGTATGATATGAATAACTCGTATTTGGGGTAAAAAAAGGGAAATTATTAGTAGGGTAACCCGTTTATTCGTTCACTGCCTGCCGGCTTTCGTCAAGCCCGCCCTCCCCGCTGTAGACTGTGTCATACGTACCGCATTCGCAAATCTGTTGACCGGTCAAATGACTTGTACTTTCTCGGGTGTGTCCGTCCGTCCGTCCATAAAAAAAAGTTCGGAAAGATCAATATCCTTGTTGTGCAAGGTTAGTGAGCGGAAAACAACAAAGTATGGAGAGGGATCGGCAGTCCAGGGAGGCCCGCAATATGTCGAGGGGGAAAAGAGAGTGGACGGGGAGGTAGAAGTTAGTGAAGCTAAGTGATAGAATCTGGAGATGCTGGAATAAACAGCACCCTACCTTTTTTTCCCTTATAGTACTTGCGATCCACGCTTTTACTCCTTGTATTGGTCTCTCCTACTCGGCATCCCGGTTCTCAGAGCGCGGGAGCTGGAGCTCGGTGGAATGGTGACGAAGAGATATGGTGCGGACGTCCTCGGGCTCCCCATCCTCCCACACAAGCAATTCACCATGATATATCTGAATACTTAGCGATGGACACGATAATGATCTACTCGGTCACCTCGGACATAGGGCTTCCTTGGTTAGAATGTGCTCGATCAGGGGTATTGCTCGATGATGCTCCGGTCATGTTTTTCATTGTCCCGGCGCATTGACGGTCATTATCGATCACTCGGTCTATATACATATATCATTGTTGGAGGTATCCGCACAGGCATGTGCGTGCCGGCACACGTCAGCTCAATGCACTACTAGCACTGTAGAAATTTTTTTCTTTATATTTTCCTCCCTCCCTTTCCTTTGTTTCTGATCGTTTCTCGCTTCATCGAACAATAGACAAACTTTCCCCTCTCCTCATATCATTTCTCCTTTATCATCTAAACACACATTTTTTTCTTGGCTCCGTGCAGCTGGCATCGGGTATAGGGTTTAAGCACCATGAAGGGCGGAGGATGGTGAGATATAAGGATGGCTCTAGATTGTTTAGGATCGCGGTGGATCATGATTTGTCAGGTTAGTGTGTTCCCTCAAAGTTTGTTGAGTTTTTCTTCTCGGGTTTTCGGGAGTGGTTAGTTAAGTAAGGGGGAGATGGAAATCTCCTCGCCTGTCCTTAGCTAGCATACACCACTTCATCCCTTAGTGTTTTCATTTGGGCTTCTTCAAGTTCGGCAAGGGTGCTAACTCCCCCCAGAAAAAAGGGTCTCTAGGAAAGGGACGCAGTATTCAAAAGAATTGAAGGATGGGTGAAGGCTGATCATGGCCTTTGGTGTGGGGACACCTGTCCTGGTTTTGGAATGGTATCTTCTCCATCGGACCTTTCCTGGTTTTCCAGGGTACTGTACCCGGCTCACATTCATGTCCACAGCTACGCCTGATAGTTATGTATTACGATGTCGAAGCGAACAAGGATACCTCTGTTTGCATATTGTGGGGGCGGTGAACGAAGAGGGACAAGAGGTGAAGCTTGAGATGACTTGTGACGGAACTCTCTACTAACTTGAGCAGCAGATTGGAAATTCCTTCAACGGCATCCGGAGGTGAATGTGGATAAAGTTGATAATTGTATTAGGGTTATATAGTACGGATACAAATTTTTGTTTTCTCTCAACACTGGGCTGTTTTCTTTGCATCGGAATAAGTGATTGAGTTTTCTAATAATGGTAATGGTACTAGCGTACACTGTTACATTGTGTTTTATAATTCGCAATTTATCTAGTATACTGTGAACTTGGGGGATCATGGGCCGACAAGGCGAGACATTAATCTGCAGTTCAGTCCAAGCACCTGGAACGCGGGCGGTAGGAGTGTACTTAGATCGTCTCCTGTACAGTACACTGTGGGGATCCGAAGTGGACTGCGGTACTCTCCGGAGGACTAATGGTATACATAGCGGTCTCTCGGGGTTTGCGAATGCTGAAAAAATTACAAGCAATAATGAGAAGGGAACACTACCAGAACACTGGCGCTATTGTTTGCGAAAACAGAACAAAAGACTACCATGGCCGAATCCATCTCGCACCCCTCCCTCCAAACATATAGCAAACCTGCCGCTTAAGAATAGAAGAGAGTACATGCTAAGGCGAAGGCAGGGTCATCATGGGGTATTGATATTGATATCCTTCCTTACGCGATAACCGCCAATTCAAACAAAACACGACTTTTGATGCGGATTGACTTCTTTTCCTCCTTTACGCTTATGCGACCCATTGTGAACCACCGTAACCTGTCCCTATATGTTCCTATCTGGTGTGGTAGGGCATTAAAATATTAGTAATCCGCAGGCTGGTAAACAACAGACAATCAACCTTTAACTCCTAATTCCTTGCAAACTTACGGTTTGGCTCTAATGAAGCCCGCCAAAAACGTGCAAAACCAATTGTGACAATTCCGCTTTGGATATGATAATATCGGTTCCCGTTGGGTGGGGATTATCGAACATAGCTTTGTACGGGATGACAAGATCCGGATGGGACGGGTGGTGACTGAGGACTGTACCGGAAGCGTCGATATCGAAATATTGCTCAAAGTCAGGGATTGTCTGGGTGTGAGGATGGGGTAGATGCCTTGTTTGGGTCAGGCAATCTTTCCCAGCATTCCAGATACATCGACTTTGCACCTAAATCGTTAATTTGTATCAAAATCACCCATCATATTAGTGCGTTCCCCCGAGTGGTCCAGCCACCATCGAGCATCACCCCCGAGCGACGGCAGGCTTTGTGGGTAGCCGACTTCGACCACCAACGAGGGCCAATCATCTTTACTCCTCCTGGTAGCTGTAGGTTTTATTCCTTCATCCCCCTCCTTGCTCCGCTTGCCGGGAACGGAAAACCTTGATCGACCAACTAGAATGGAGGAGTGCTTCTGATGGCCGGGGATGGAAGAGATCTTGATTGCCAATTCCATCATAAAACTCCGGCTTGTAATCTCGTGCGCAGCGCCCGGCATGCACCTGATAACCATGGACTCGAGAGCACGCTCATATGTGAATCTCACCTGGCGGCGGATGCCAAGATTCGTGAAGGCATTGTCGATGTGGTCAAGCATCAGGTCCGACACTCCGCTGATGTGCACGTAACACCCGGTACTAGATTCCTCGCACTGGCGAATCTTGACTTCCATTTGGCGGGCGAGGCGGGCCGCACTGGAAAATGTGAGCTTGTTGTGGGCGGGAATAAGGGCTGCGAGATTGGTGAAGGCGGCACTTGGCTGTTCAGCAGTGGAAAGCTCTGCCATGGAGGCCAATTCCAACTTGCGCGGTGGGTAAAGTCGTTCGTATTCACGTTCGTTTCATTTCGTATGTGGTCTTTTGCTCGTTGGAAAATCTCGTGGTGGTTATCGATGTCGTTGTTTTTTTGTATATTCGCAGGTTGCGTTCCGTGTTTCTGTTTGCTCTACGGGAAAACAGGACCACCCTTATACTATATACACTTTTTCCGAAAATCCTTTCTCACACTAACACTCCCCATAAGAGTCATCAAAGACTCCTTGCTCCGAGTTACGGGCCACGATGCACAACGCAAATACTGTATAGGTGTCCAAATCGGACAAACCTATAAACCTAACTTTCTCCCCCCACACAGTACTGTAGAGTAAGGTAATACACCCTTATGATGTCATACCCGAGAGTTGCTAAGTTTTCGCTCTCTCCGTCGGTTCTCTACGGTAATATCCTTATTCAGTTTAACGAATAAGGCTGCTTCTGGCGGTTAACATTGCCCGCAGCATAATATAAGATCAGCACCCCACCCCACATTATCTGATCTTATTAACCGCGGCATGCAATTCCGTTAACCTGTCAAAACTAAAACCTATCCATCCTCAACTGTGATATTATGATCCACACTTTTACTCCTGGTATTGTTCTACTCGGCATCGTGGTTCTCAGAGCGCGGGAGCTGGAGCTTGGTGGAAGTGTGACAAATATATATGATGCGGACCTCCTCGGGCTCCCCATCCGTCCACGCGGGCAACCACGCGGGCAATTCACCAGATGTATCTGGCACCGTCCGGTTCACCAACTGCGTGGGGAGGGAAATGAGGGCTCGGTCACGCGCATCTCTGTACGCTATCCTTTTCATTGGCCCTGGTTGAGCGAGTGAATATTATGATAGTAGATGCGCATTATTAATAATGATGTGTCTGGATACTCAGTGGTGGACGCGGTCATGGCCTACTCGGTCACCTTGGCCATAGGGGTTCCTCGGTCAGGTCATGCTCGATCGGGGTAGTTGCGCGGAAATACTTGGGTATGCTTGATTGTGGTCGAGTACGCACGGTCATGATCGATCACTCGGTTGATGTTGGAGTTAGTATCAATGCTGGAGGCGCTGATACGTTCAACCTTTATCGGCCAAAAATGTTCCTTCTCTTACACTGATTAGTCGTGAAACAGCTTGAATCAAATCTGGATCGGGAACATACCGTATTATCTCCTGTTATCCCGAAATCCGCCAGGACCGGGCGTTACTTAAGGTTGGACGGTGCATGGAGTCTGAAATTGGGTCCTTTAATGTTCCCATTTACCATAGCAGCTAATGGTGGATTTTAGGTGTCCAGCACTTCGCATCTCGGGGTGGGGTCTCTTGTTTGATCACCATCCGAATCCTGCATATGAGTGGTTACTTACTACTCGCTCGGCCGCATTGTTGTAGACACCTAAAATCCATCCCTTGTTTATGATACCGTGTTGACTGGGAGAATTGTAGGAACCCATTTCAGACTGGTGCACCTTCCAACCTTGAAAACGCCCGGTCTTTGTGGATTTCCGGATAACAGGAGATAATACGGTATTTTCTTCTGCGCTGGTCCAGCCAGGCACATGGAATCAAACAAGACAAACAATGGACGTCAGCCGGCGGATTGACACTGTTTAATGCCATTTAGGCTCCAATGATCTGCGATGTTTGCGATGCAAGCCTGTTCAAACTCTCACGGTTAAGAGTTCCGAGATATAAGCATTCCACCTCAACGTCGCCACCTGAAAGCCCAATACTCCGGTGAAGAAACACTGCAGGTAGTTTGGGCCTCTTGCCCTTCAAATACTAATCTTCGTCGAAGGTATGTTTATGGTTTTGATCGATGGGTCCTACGAAATTGCTACACCGGAGGCAGCATTCCCGGTCCCGTCGTGTCCATTATGGGAGGTTTCAAAGGGAAGCTTATAGCGATCCGCATTCTAAATGTCAATTGGGAGAGAAGCTCGTATTTCTCTACATTTCGTGTCACTCTAGGCTTTATTTGGCATGGGGATATACCACCTGTTTACTCCTTCGCAGACAACAAAATCCACCCAAGATTTCGAAGCCCAACACGTCAATAGATTTTATGTTCTAGGTTTTGTTGGAATTATGATTCCCGGGAAGGGAAACTACAAAACTGTCCAGAATCACGAAATCTTGGCCGAGCGTGGCGCGTCCCTACCCCTCCGGATTTTCTGGGTGTTGTAAAGCGCCCTGAAGATATGGAAACACCAATCCACCGTCGCCCTATAGAGTGTCCAATAGTAATTGACGTTGGTGCAATAGAGACCATGACCGATATTTTAGTCAGCTCGTTTGTGTCTTCCAAAATCACGGCAGTAGACAGGGTGGCATTGCTATTGATTTTTTATTTTTTATTTTTGCTCGGGGTTTTCTGCAGCCTTTTTGCTCTTGTATTGCAAGAGACTCCCGTCCGGCGAGGGAAATCTGGTGAGTGATCATCACTGATGGGGGTTGGAGATTCACAGATAATCACTCACCAGTCCATAGTTATGTGCTCTTCCAGATCTTGATGGGATTTACACCTGCAGTATCCACAATCCCGGAACGACTTTGTCGAAGATATGGCTGATATCCGAATCTAGCATTGGCGTTTATGGGAATCGTATTGCCTGCACTACCATTTACGGAAACCGTTCCAAGGGGAAGCAGATCTGCCAATGGTCTTGTGCAGCTCCATGGAAGAGCTCCTGTCACAGCTTTTCTAAAAATCTATCACTTTTTGCTGGTGACAATTTTGATTAAAGTCCTAACGGACGAATTTGCTGCAGTCGCTGCTGGCTCTCGAGGGGGTGATTGAAACACTATCATTTGCTTCTGGTCAGAACCAATATTGGAGCGGAGCACTGGTTTATTGTTGCCGTAAACACAGGATTAATGGTGAAATCCGATAGTCTATAGCCATACACAGCGCCTCCAAACCCTCTCGGGTGGCTCCTCCATCCCCTCCGCCATGCTATGCCGCTGTGGCAGTTTGTCCTGCTGGGCCTGACAGTTATCAAAACCACCACCCCCCGGATCCTGTCGCTCATACTTTGATATGAGAAAACCATCTACGGTAACTCTACCTCGGATAACCGGATGCACTTTACGAGAGGTTCACATGAGGGACTGCTGAGGAACAACCCGATCCGCTCGACCTATGGATGTTTAGCCCAGAGCCATCGTCAGGATAGAGCATTGGATGAAGTCTTCCGAAAGCCGTATAAGGGACAATTGTCGATCGGCAGCGGAAGAGAGTCGGACATGCGGCCTAGTGTTGTAACTTCATGGACCAGAGGGGTAGTATTGCAAACAGGATCTCTGCCAACATAATTCAAGGATGGATTTAATATCCGCAGCGCGGCTGTGGCGGGGGGGGGGGCAAGGTTTGCAAAATTTACAGATAGGGATAGTCATGGAATTATCGGAGACTTGGGGAGAGGTGCCGTCGTGGGAAAGCCGACTGAGTCATTGGTCTGGGATCCTGGGGAGTTTGCTAACACGGGGATAATGGAAGGCTTAGGAGCTTTCCGGAGAGCGGTATCAAGACTAAGCTATTAGCTATAGTCGGAGGTAATAGTGGGGGAGACTGTTGGAAATTACGTTATTCCTTTCCTATCCGGTGATGGGGCTGTGTTAGTCATGTGACACAGCCACATGACCGAGTATATATGTTATTGTACTCTAGTATCTTCTATTGTATTCTAGCATCTTCTAGAGATTTCCTTGGTATGAGGCAGTGCTTGTGTAATGATAAGGGGTATATAAAGGGCAGGTTCAGCCCGGTTCTTAGAAAGAGTGCGCAAGCTTGGATTAATCTTTAAGTCTTCAGATTTTATTGTGGTCATCATAGTTACTTTGTTATTACAACAGTTAGTACAATAGATACAAATATTTTCAGGTTATGAGCCCGGGTTTGTGAGATACTACTGCATTCCTACCATAAACCAGAAGACCTCTGAAGCACTCTAAGCAAACACATCACTGTCTCCCACCCTCAACAAATCCTCTATCAAATTGTGGTGAAAGATTTCTTCTACGACACACTCGAGTGGCTACCTATCACCTCTAAATACTGTCTTTACTACTGTAAAGACTGTAACCACATCTGATAGCTAAATTTTGATAATTTATTTCCTGTGTATGGTGAATATTACTACGAAAATATCCAAGTCTCTCTTCGTAAGATTATTTCTGGGATAACAATTGATACAAACAACTTCTTGATATGAAACAAAAGAACTAAATTGTCTATATCACGATGTTATCTGAAAATGACACAAAATCTGGCACTAGCATTTCCATCAAGGACTACCCCAAACTCCATGGTTAAGAAAATTATCAAATCTAGACTGACACCTCACAGATAGCTTTTGAAAACCTGGATTTGTGGGATGTAGTATCAGGCAAATCTGTGAAACCAGAACCTCCTTCTGAAGGTAGCATAATGACTGACTCTATACAAGTCAGGAAATAGACAGGAAAGACAAACAAGTAAAGTTCTTCCTATACTAAGCTGTTGACACTCCTTCTACACTGACATCAGTAGCAATACAACCTCCAAAGATATTTGGCAAGCCTTCAAAAATAGATTCGACAAAGAAATCCCTGCAACCAACATGATCTTACAGGAAGCTATCTTGAAGATTAAGCTCAACTCCAGACAATCAATTCCTAACCATACAACTAAGTTCGAAACCTCTTTGAATCAATTAACCCAAAGATGTGCCAATGACATGGACAGTGAAGGCAACATTGATGAATTCCATAAGGCAATGAGAATGTAGACCGAATCTGAGTCAGTGAAAGGAATGGTATTCATGTTATCTATAAATAACCTACATCTCAATGTATGTGACATATTATCAGCATAGAAAACTATTCGCTATGTGAATGTTAAAGATTACTTTATTGGAAGAGCTACCGAGAAGTTGGAAGGAAAAGAAGAAGAAAAGGCACTAAGAGTACCTAGTAGTAAGAAAAAGAATTGCAGCTATTGTGCAAAGAGAGGGAAAACAAGTGACAACCACATGATCGCAAAATGTCGAAGTCTACAATGAGAAAAAAAAAAGAAAAGAGAACGGAAAACAAACTCAAGTGGTGTCACGAACGTGGCTTAGCGAGGAAAGGGTTTTCACGTGACACATGGTTATGAGTCACAGGTATGTTATCGTTTCACGCATATGACCTATTCGGGTTATATGATTAGTTATGTGTGTCATTTGTGATGCTTTCGCACATGGCTCAAGTATGAGTCATGGGACATGCGCCTGACGAGTATGCCTTACGAGTGTGCCTTACGGGTAAGCCTTACGCATATGATTTATGTTTCGCACATGACCTTATTATGAGGGCATGGGTTTCGTGCATATGACTCAGTCGAGTCATATGACTTGTTTATTGCATTATGATTAGTTTATGAGTTTTGCATATGACCTCGCTATGAGGTCACGGGTTTTGAGCATGTGATCATTTTGGTCATATGACTAGTTTGTTGCGAGTTGGTTTCGCACATGTGACCACTTTAGGTCACATGATTAAAGTAGGGAAGAACACTATATAAGGAGGCCGATGCGGCCGAGGAAGATAGGTTCTTCACGCTTTGTTCTAAGTACTTTTCCTACTTATTACTTTAACAAATATAAACCAGCTTTACGATCTTTATCTTTATTGCGACATTATCATTATGCCAAAAAGCGCTAGTCACGAAGACGAGTTAGAGAAAGCTTACGATAGGCGTTTCCGATACAAGACAAAGGTCTTGTACTATCGGTAACGTAGACAGAGGCCTAACGCTATCGTAAGACAAGGAAAGGAGAAGACAGAAAAGATAAGTATCGTTCCCCGTTGCCAAGAACTAACAATCCAAAGGAGGGATCGTTATAATTACAAAGCGTCACCTAGTGCGATGCCAAACGATACAAGACGGCATCCTTCAACCCAGACAGGGAAGGAGATATCGACATCGACAATCAAAATCTTAATCTAGGAGGATTCAGCGACGCCCTAGATCACGTCTCAGCAGAACCCTCGAGAGCAGCAAGCCCAGTAACCCCGGAGAAAGGATCACCAGTCGATAGCTCTCCTGCTGGAACGCCACGACCCGAGAGAATTTCGGGATCTGCAGTACCTGGGCCACCGGCCCCAGCCGCTCCGGCACCAGGAACCAGCATACTTGGAATGACTGAAAATCAGTTTCAGGCATTTCTTGCAGCCACGCGAAATACAGTGCAAGAAAATGTCCAACGACCAAAAAGCAAAGGAGCCCGACACATAAGAAGGAGCCAAAGATAAGCTACGAATATTCTTAGTGCAATGCGAGGGATATTTTGCAGTTAAGGAATATGGAGATCACCATGATGAAATTAAGATTCCATATGTGGAATCTCTACTCAGATGACTCGCGGGACAATGGATCATGCCCTTCCAAGATGGATGGAAACAGAGGGAATGGGTCACGTATGAAGAGTTCAAGGCGACACTCTTTGAACAATTTGGAGACCCCAATGCCAAAGAAACAGCAAGACGAAAGCTAGAAAAACTCCAGCAAGGTAAACAAACATTCTCAGCATATTGGAACGAATGTCAACAGTTGGAATACGAGGCCGAGTTTTATGATGCGACTCTCTACATCATCCTCCTGAGAAACTGCAGTGAGAGACTCCGAGAGGCATGGGGAATCTCTGACCTGCGCTATACGACAGCCGAACGATTTGCAAGATGGGCAATCGACAAAGAAAGCAAATTAAACATGGTTCGGAGCAACTCAGAAAATACAATAGCACATAGAGTGGTCCAATCATCCAGGAATGTGGACGGGACCTTCAAACCGCAAGCACCTCGAGGAGAAAGTTGAGCATTACCACCAGGCGAACCGATAGAATTAGACAAGTCAAGAGAAGGGCCTGCTCTGACTCTGTCTAAGGAAGAATACACCAGAAGCATTAGTGGGAAACTATGCCTAAGGTGTGGAAATGCAGAGCATCGGATACGAGAATGCAGAAGCCGACTGGACAACGGATACCAGGGAAACAGAGCTACTGGAAATAATCGTTTCCAAAATCAGAAAAGAAGCAACATCGGTGAAATGATAGCAGAGGATTTACCGGCGGAAAACGATGAGGGTCCCCAGTAAACGGTGGTCTGGGAGACCCAAGATGTGGACCTGGAAAACCCATCAAATTAGCGAACTACTACATGGCACTACACACGTAAAGAGGAGAAGAAGATGGAGATCATGTGATGATCAAAACGAAGATATACAACAGAGAAAGTGAAGAAACGAAAATATATGCAATGCTTGACTCGGGGGCAACTGAAGACTTCATCGACAAAGAAATATGAGACAAATACGGTCTCCACACCGAACAAGCGAAGAAAGCAAGACAAGTCTACTTAGCGGATGGAAAACCAAGCGCTATGGGTCCTATAACCCATATGGCGACAGTACCTATGGACATTGACAGCCATAGAGAAACGGCAACCCTTCAAGTGGCAGATCTGAAGAACCATGAGATAGTCCTAGGGATGCCATGGTTACGGAAGCATAATCCGACGATCGATTGGAACGAGAACAAGATGACCTTTACAAGTGAACTATGTGCGACACAATGTCTCAACAGTTCACCTGTGGTCTACTCAATACTGATATGAGAAGCGGAGGAAGAAACTTTGCATGCAAAGTTTGCCGAGATGCAGCAAGACAAGAGGGTCCGGATACAAAGACTGGACCAAGAGGCAAAAGTGCCTACCAAGGGTTCCAAAGGGGCAGCAGGACACGACCTATATGCCAACAAAGGAATCAAGATACCGGCCAACGGGCAGGCAACGATAGCGACGGGAATAGCCATTGGACTCCCAGAAGGCACCTATGGACGAAGAGCACCCCGCAGTGGTTTAGCAGTCAAACACCGACTCAT